CTTGTGCTTATTTATTCCAAATTGCACTTGAAATCATGTGATTACCTATACAAAGCAGATTGTTTTAGCCAAAATCGCACTGGTCTCAGCTCAATTACCATCATATATATAGATAAATTTCTATTACTTACAGGAAGGCAGTGTTGAACTATTCCAATCATGTCAAGTAGAAATGAATCTGTGATACATTCCCTGGCTTACACTGGATGTTTCAAGACGTTCAGTACCACTTCATGTGTAAGGTACTGGTCCTGAATAATTTTGAATTCCATGTATATTAAAATGTGGAGACCTCAAACTGACACATTTACCCATTTCGTACTTTTAGGGACACCAGTTTAACAATACTGGCCATCATCACCTGCATTGTCTGTGTTGTGAGGGTAATTTTAATGGATAGGTTTTTATTTATACTTTATATTTTGTCAGTGTAAATTTTTTTTAGCAGTTGGTATTGAAAATGTGATAAGGTGAAAGGTAGGAAGCAGCTCTTAATTGTTAGTTGCAACTGGAAAGTCCTTTCTGATGTAGTTTTACCTCACATCCAGGTAGACAAGCCTAACATTCTGCAGTCATTTTTAGCACTTTTTAATGGTGCTCTTTTCTATAACATCTGCTTGCCTGGACACAATTTTCTCTTCCCACTAATTTCTGGATATTAACATTATATTTTCATGGTATACTTTAAGCATACCTTAGGGAATCTAAACCCAAGCTAATTTATTTGTTGTTGAATTAATTACTAGTGATAACTTTAATAAAAGAAATGATGAATTATTTAATTATAATTTCATCAATTTTTTTTTTATAATATAGCTTCATAAGCTCCACTCTCATCGCCATTCCTTGCCAAATCAGTATATTGTATTTTACAGTGGGATTGTGGAATGCTTTCTTTGGTAAGAATGGTTGATTCCAGGTTGAAAGTGATTAATTGATAAAATAACAAAAGAATGGCCAAACCAAATTTTGACATGATTTGTGATCTTTTACTGATCGTATTTGTAATATGCTACACAGTATGTATTCTCTAGCTGTAAATCAGAGACTATAATTTGTCTGATTAGCTGGTATAAATGTTCTGTCTAATAGAACATGTTATATCTGTGTTTTAGTGGCTTTAACTGGTTTTACCTGGCTGTTACTGCTGTATACTTTCTAACACAGTTCATCAAAGTTGCTTGTCAGGTGAGGTGTTTGCTAAAATATGAATGATGTACATGTGTTATTGCTAATGTATGTGCACATGGATTTGCAAACTTAGACTACAAGCAGTCCCTCCTTTCCAGCAAAGTCCAAAAAAAAAGAAAAGACAAAAAATGTGAACAGCTTGCAGGGTGGAACTCTGGGTGAAGCTTTTTGTGCACCTTAACCTGTGCTATATGTGCCCACATATATTAAATTTTTTTGTCACTATATACTTTTTTGACTTGTGAGATGGATTTTGCTGAAAAGGAGGGACTACTTGTAGTTTAGGACTTGCAAATTCTAATGTTATCATACAATGCCTGTCATAGTGCAGTTATTAAACATTTGATATTCTTTTTTTCCTCCATCAGCTTCTTGTAGTCACAAATTTTCATTGCCATCTAGCAGCTAGGATGATGAGAGTTGAGGATAGATTTAAAAGGTATTTTCTCATCTACTTAATATATTTTAGGATTTTTCTAAGGGTAAGTGGTACGTGACATATCTCCTCAAATTAACTCACTTGAAGTGACTTTGTCACAGCAATGAATTTGGATCTCTCTGCTTACCCACCTCCTGATCTTTAATTTTCAAAGCACAAGTGAGGGCTTAGAGAGAGAATGGGGGGTGGGAAGGGGAAGTGGGGAGTGAGAATCCAAATTCTTGTTTGTTACTCTTTTGTCCCTTACTCAGTATTCTCACCAGAATTTTGCCTTGGCAAGTCCCATGCCCCCCTCTGCAGATAAATAGGGGGCCTGTAAGAACATTAGGAGAAAAAGTTCCTCATGGTCCTCGACTGGTGTGGAAAAAATTATTCATGATTTCTCTGCCTTCCATTTCATTAAAGCATGTTCAAAAGGGAACTCTTCCAATGGTGATCCTTCAGCTGAAATCCCTATTTGGATGTCCAACTTTTCTTTTTGTAGCCTATTTCTCTGACAGTTTTTAAGGTTGTTTCAAAGGATGAAACCACATGGTATGAATAAACTGAGCTTACATTCATTTCATTCAAACAAGCAAAATACTGCAGGGTGTTAGGTTGACCAGGTTGTTAAAACTACTTAACTATAGATGTTCTAAAGTCAGTTTGATAGTGAGCTTGTCCCTCGGCCTTAATGGGCCCATTCTCTTGGCTTTGAATGCACCATCTTTGTTTCCTTACAGGAATCCTGCAAGGCTGTGGCCTGTTGAGAACACTGCTTACTGCCTTTACCCTTTACTTTCAATTGGTATCTTAGCCTTCATTGCAAAATAAAGGTTGCGAAGTCAAAATGAATCAAGGTTTTTTGTTTTAAATTGCTCTCCTGCTTCCTGCCGTAATTAAAAATTCTACATATGGCCCTTTACTTTCCTTTGTGTCTTATAAACTACACTGGTAGTTCTCCATGGCTCTGCCCTCCTCTTCTCTTCCCAAAAGGAAGTGTTGAGTAGGTGTCAAGGGTTACATCACATGTAGGTAAAATAGCTTACTTAATGCAATCAAAGATAGAGTTTTAACTTCACATGAATTTTGCTAGATATGTTGTTGTGTTGACAGACTTATCACTTTTTTTTTTATTTCAGGTACTCTAACAAGCTGGTGGCAGCTGTATTTATTACCCTGGCTGTCTTTGCTATTGTTGGACTGGCAACAATGAAAAATGAATACAGAGAGTGTACAGGTATAATCATAAGGAGAGTGTTGTTCCTGAGATATCCATTCCCCTGCTGTAGAAGGCTTTGGTTTATTCCCCTTACCCAGCATTCTGGATCTTCTTGCTTTGGCTCATCATTTTCTTTTGAGAATTGTAACATTTGAAAAATTGAAACATTTGGGGTTGGAACAATTTCCAGTGGAATTTCCAGTGACCCTTCATAGGCTGCATGGGTATGGATATTTTTTTGGGAAATTCCTACTTAATGGTGCTTTGACACAATCATCACAACAGTCAAACCTGTATTAAGTGGTGACCCATTGGGAATGGCAGTGTGACAGCTAACTACCGGTTGATTAATCAATATAGGTTCCACAGAAGAGGGGTAACACAAAAAACAATAAAAAAGCGCCATTTTCTGCTGTAATTGACCACTTAATGTATTAACTCTTGCTCAATAATACTGGCAACTTTGATTTTGGGAGAGAAACAAGAATTAAATTGTACTTGAAAGATTATTCTTAGTTTTACTAGTAAGAGTGGTTGTGCTTTAAGGGACTGTTCAATACAGATAGAAGATGTGATACAAAAAGGCCTTTGGTACTCACTCAAAGGTGACCACAACTGCTTAAGAGGTGATGGCTGATATTAGAGGTGAAAATGACAGTGATTATGGGGAAACTGCTTAATATGATGCTGCTTTATATGAATTAAGTTCTGATGTGCCATTGATGTTGTGAAACGTTAGTTAAATGCTTCAAGTTCCAGGGGATGTAGCTTTTTCTGCATTGATTTCAGTAATGATTTTAATATTTTATTGCAGAACCTGAATGGCTGCTCTTGTCAAGTGCAGAAATTTTAGTTGCCCAAGTTTTCCTGATGTCAGGAATTTTCATCACAAGGTAGTTCCAAAGAGAATAGCAAATACTATTCACTTCCGAGCAGCTAATGAGACTAAATTGCACATCAAGAGTTTAATTCCCAACCATTTTTTGTTATATTGAAAGAAAGAAATGAATTTTTTGGTATCTGTGAGGTATACATCAAAAAAACAATTATTCACCTCTGTGTTGGTGAAATTGGTGGTCATTTACCATGCCACTTCATGGCACAGTAAATTTACATCACTATTCACCTTCCCATCGTGAATAGTTGTTAATGGGTCATAGTACCCATGACACCCCATCAGTCAACTAATTTTCCCTCCTGCCCTTCCTTTTCTTGGGGGGCCTATAGCCCCCTTCTAAACCTTCTGAAGTTTTCCATATTCTTCTGTACTGGGAATATGGACATTTTTTTGGAATCATGCATTGGAAAGGTTGAGCAATTGGAGACTAAAGCTTTACTATTTGATTCACAGGGAGCTCAATAATGTTCGTATGTTAGAGGATAACAGGACTGCCCAAAAAAGAGATTTATGGGGGTGAGTGTTTGAAAAAATTGATTAATATTTATTTAATAAATGTTGGTAATGAAAGAGTCAGCTGATGTCAGATTTGATGTAAAATGGTAGATAGTTTATCAGATAAACAAATTATGGAGATAAAGGTAGAAATGTATCTCTAAGTTACACCATGAACAAAGTTTTGCATTATTTTCTTGATGATTATTTCCCTAGGGGAACCTAGTGCCACAAATATTAGATGGTAAACAGATGAGAAAACTTTGCTTAGTGAGATGCAGGTGCAGGCCACCTACAGCAGACTTTATTTTGTGATGAATTTTTAATAGTCCCATGACCTCAAGATTATGATGAGATTAATGTTGTTTCATTTTCATGTGTAACACTTTGAATTATTGATTTGGTTTTCTATTTTTTATCCTGTTAAAGGATAATCTTCATTTTTGAATTATCAGCATTGGTCAGCCTTGTTCATGACCTGGTCATGAGAATCAGTAAGTACTTGGAACATTCTCTCTCCTTATGGTACAGCTTGGAAATACTGCCTACCTGGCTATTAATCATTCATTTATTGTAACCACCATAAGTTTTGGGACAGCATGCACCTAGCTAGATATACAACTTTAGATGTATACAGCTTCTGTGAGTGAGCATACCTAATTTTTAAAATTCATTTGGTGGATGTACACTGTATTTTTAATTAAAACTCTTCCTAAAAGTATTTTGTTCAATTGCAGCTGGACCAAAGAATAACTGTCAAGGAGTATTGGTGAGAAGATTCTGTTTAATGCTAAAAAAGGAAAACAAACTCAGTATTTTGTCTTATTTAATCAAACTGATAAGGAAATGTTACAAGTAAACTTTGCACCATGCTGTGCCTAGAAAAAGAAAACCAGGGACTAAATTTGCTGGGAAAGTGGCCAGTTTGGATACCTGTGTGGGTAGCTATTGAGCTAAATGTAACCTTTCTATTACTTTTGATAATGAGCTGTTCAGGTGAGACAAACACGTTTAATGTTCAAAATTGTTTCTTTCAGCTGTCAAGCAAAGCAGGCTACACAGCAGTGTACATCACTGTTAATGTAAGTTCAAAAATTGCATGTTTGTGAAGACAAACACTGGGACATTTAGTTGCAGTTGTTTTGCTTATTAGAGTTTTAGGCCATTAGAGTTCATTAGGTGGAACAACTTAAGGAGAAGTGGCACTAAACATGTGGTTAAGAAGATTGGTCTGCATAAATGTGATGCTGTTTGATACAAATGTCAACAAGCAAAGAGCAAACCAAGATAGATGCATTGCTGCTGAATTTATAATCAGAATTTAGACAAGTGTTACTTGTATGTCGTAAATAGTTCAGTTTAGAATGCACCAAAATTTTGCATGGACCATACACTGTAACTGTAGAAACGGAACACCTCTCTGAAATGGGGACTGAACATCTTCCAGTTGTCTGCTAGATGAGCCCCTTAGCATGGCATATTTACTGAAATTAAAAACGAAAATAATATTTTAATCAGCAAAGGGAATTTGCTGGTGTTGCTGTTATATGGAACCCACCCCCACTTTTCCTTTTCTCACTTAGTTTGTAATTACCCCCTCAAAATAGCCAAGGAAAGACCAATTACCTGGGCTTATTTACTATAATTTAGAAGAAGAAGGCATATTCCCCCACATTTCTTTGGTGGAAATGGCATGACTTGTAACAATGTGTCAAAAGTATTATAAATATCTAATGTAGAATTTTAACAATCAGATGTGGTGGTTGTAGGGAAAACCTGTATGGAAATTTTACACATGGGAATAAAATCTATTAAAATTTTCCAGATTATCAGGTGGCTCCTACCAATATGGGCAATGGCAGCAATATTTGACACAGAAAATAACCAGTGCAGCCAGGATGACTATATTGCACCAGTTTTTGCAGTGAATGATGACTCTGGGGTCAGTTGATATCTGTAGTCTTAAGTTTTGTATGCTAATGCAGTAAGTGTAAAGTATAAGTTGAAATAATAATGGTTTATTTCACTTTCACACTGTAGTTGAAACCTTGGGTGAGCAAACTTTCTCTGTTGAGTGCTTATTATTGACTTTACAGATAAAAATTAGCATAAAGAGTTGGATCAAATTCAAATGATACAATTCTGGGTAAATAATCAAGGGTTAGAGAACGACTTCAGTGTTAGAAAAATTTTTAAAATTAAGTTTTAAAAATTAAATCAATTAGGGTTTGTTTTAATTTTATGTACACTCTATAGCTTGAAATTGTCACTAGGAAGCTAACATACAAAAGAAGGTTATTTGCAAATGATATAGAAATGTACCATGATTATCACTGCTGAACTGTCTTACTAGTTTTAATAGGGTTCATCGAGAATATTGAGAATTATAGTGTAAAACAGCAGGACAAGACTCTCCATGCACAAATTGGTAGTAGCTCAGGCTATAGAAATGTAGCTAGAGAACCCAGGTACTGGCTGAGCCAATACCTAGAGAATTCTCTTCATCTCTAAATTCCTTACATGTACATTTAGAAACATCCAGAATTTTAAGTTAAAACATCCACCTTTACATGTTTTGCTGAAGTTTCACTTTCAGCCCTTTTTTTCTTGCAGAACTTCACCTCTGAATTCCGTCCTAGAGGAAGTAGTTTTCATTACAAACATTTACATGATGGTGTTGATGTTGCAAGCCGACCCTTAATTCCAAGTCTTGGCCCTAGCTCCAAGTCTTTGTCAAGTATGAGTTCATCTTATGGATCAACAGCATGGAATCAGAAACCTTGGGGTCAAGGCTCATCAGATAGGTATCCTCCCATATCGTAACAATTATGTGAGGGAGCACAGTGTTCTGTAGTGGTGCAGACTCCTGGATTCCAACATTTGCAGGCAGTTTTTAGATCAGTCAAAATTAGATCCAGTTGTTATGATAAGATATAATTGATGATGATATGGCAACAACATCATAACACATCATGATGTTGTGTAGTTGAGTATTAACAATGCATAACATTATCAGATATGGGATGCCATTTACATATCAGCAAATTTTATTTGCTTATGGAAACAATTTTACCTTCTAATTATATGTAAGGCGTATGCATTTCATCAGTGCTTTATGTGTTGTTTTGCCCTGTATGTTAATATGGAAATTTCTGTTGTGTGAAGGTTAGGTGGGTTTTACATGAACATTGCAAAAAAAATTTCATGCAAAACAAGTTCAAGTGTTAAAAATGAATGAGGTTAATTTTCAACATCAATGAGGTCATTCTCAAGTTCTATTGGAAAAAAATATTGTTTTTATAATTGTTTGTAGTTATATAATTATTAACACATTTTTAATACTTGCTACATTTTCATCTGTTTGTGAACCATTGTTATTATATGCTCTAATTTTTTTGGTATATTTCACTAGAACTTGAAAATAACCTCAGAAAGGTGGAAACATTGTTCATTTTTATTGCTGTTTTTTTCTTTTTGTTACAAAATCTATATATAAGAAACTTATTAAAAAAAATTTACTTGTTTTACGAGCCAATTTGCACAAGAATTAAGTGGATGACTTGAGATTATTTTTCAATAACAATAGGCATTCATCTGCTGTTATCATATAAGAGTGACTAAACATGTTGAAGTTTTAATATACAGGGTTTACTAATTTTTGCTGTGAGTACCTTCTCTTAAATATAAATTTTATAAATTGAAATGTACTTTTATAAGCAAAATAATGTAATTTTAGTGGTTGCTGTGACTGCTTATGTGCATCATAATTTTAAAATGTATATTTTAAATATATAAGTCACCTGTTGCATGAATTATCAGAGTTCATGTTGATAAGGGAAAATTGAAAAAACAAAACAAAACAATATTTAATTATTTGGTCATGCAACAGGGGAAATTTGTTTATTCCTATGAGTGACATGATTTAATTTATGTAATCCTTACTTTGTAAGAGGTTGATATTTAAAGAAGTTGATGCAACTGTCAGATGTTAAATAGAAGTGCCAGGTAGCTAACATGCTTTGATGTCTTAAGACTTCAATATCACTCAAGGCTGGGATTATTTCCCCACATAAGTAGTAAATAATCTTGATGTTAATGGTAAATATTATACTTGTGCCACTGAGCATCAAATCAAGTTCTGTTTATTCATCATAAGAGGTCTCAGAACATTGGAGAGCAGATGTTTTTCTTTTTGAATTGGAGGTTACAGTAGATGAAAAGGAATTAGAACTAGCTGCAGTAATAATCATAACTTTTACAATGCAGTGAACTTCTTGGGAAGAAGTGCTGTTGGCCAGTATCTCACAGTTGTTGTTCAAGCACAGTGCTCCAGATCTAATTTAATTGATAGGCAAAGTTTTATAGGCCTGGTCAATAAAGCACTCATGTTAGGCATCAGTACATTATAGCTATCCTGTTTCAAAATATTTATTTCATTAGTGCTAAACCTCTTGGCTCTTTTATTTACAACACATTTAGTTTAGAGGTATACTTTGAGCCCCTCCCTCTTTCCATAGGAAGTTAAATAGAATGAGCATTGGTTAAGTTTTAATAAAGGGCAGATGGGTTGTAAATATTATTTCAGGTATTTATTAGTTCATGTGGTGCTAGCGCTCATCACAAGTAGTATTTATAAATGTGCTGTTGTGAATGAAATAAAAGTATAATGGTGGGGTGAAAAAGAATGTTAAAGTTCTCTTGTACAGTTGTATGAATAGATGAAATGGTTCTTGCATTTTAAGCTTGTCATCAAATGAAGATGCCTTTGATGTTGCCGATCCTATTAGGGAGCAATATGATTGTCACATATGAACCTAAGACATGGCTAAGCTCTCAAATGGGCTTTTTTGTATCTCACAGCAGAGCAACTGATTGTGATATTGGAAAGGTCTTTGCTTTGAATTCTCAAGGGGACTTAATTTTCTTCTTTTTCTGACATTTGTGACAAATGGTTGAAATCTGTCTTCACATTTTTTTGTGTAAGAATGTTTTTGTAATCTCATACATGGCTTTAGTTTACTTAGTGCAGTGTTAATCTGCTCACTCCCTCCCTTGTTCCTGTGCTTCTTTTGATTCAGCAGCTGTGCACATCCCTTAAAGAATTAACTATATTGTGTACAAATGTCATCCTAAACTGAATCACCCATTTCATGCCAACCTCAATGCAAACACCCAAAATTATTTTAAGGCTCTTTTTATATGCACAGGAGGTAACCTAAAGAAGTAAACATGAGTCAGGGCCAGGAAGTATGATGACAAAAGATCTATATTACACGTAATCCAATATAATTTATTCCACCACAGAGCATAATGCTCCTTTAATTTAATCTGAAATTAAAAATACATCATTTCCGTAAATCTCTACTCCTGGTATGTAATTGCTATGCTGTATGATCACTACCCAGACAGGAAGAATAATCTAGTAGATTCCATCAGAGTTCATGTTTCATGTAAATTTTTGTTAGCTTGTCAACAGAAGATCTTTAAATGGAGAGACGTAATTAAAAAGTGGTACTGATATCAAAGAGGTCTGCCAAGATAATTAAAGAACACTTCAAAATTTAACCTTTTAACCTGTTAAGCCTTTAAATGTGTGAGGAATTTAAGTAATTGTGAAAATAATCTGAAGAAAATGGACATTTGCCAACATGGATATTTTTACTGCCTTTCATCTTATAACTTTATATTTGAAGAATCACCCAAGAAAAAAATCTCTATACATTGTCCAATTAAGCATTAACATAACCACAAACTACATCAAATTGAATCTTCAAAAACTTACAGGAATGGAAGAATATAAATTAAAAACTTGAGGAATGTATCAACTATGAATAAACTCTTCTGTCTGTCATGTTTTTGTAGTGTCAAGGAAATTTCTGCCTTTGTATACCTTTTTTAAACCACTTGAATTGTCTTTTTGGGTTTGACACATTGTTGCAGACCCAAGGGCAAATAATTGTGTGGGAGGAAGAAAAACAGCTGTTTTGACTCACTTTGAAAGTTTCCTTGTTAGGGTTAAGCCAAAAAATCTTCTTTATTTTTCTCTTCCAAAATTATTTGTCCCTGGATTTCCAAAAATTGTGTAGGCATAAAAATGTTCTTAAAGCATAATATGAAAGGAAGTGGGGGAAGGTTCTGTAAATCTGTTGGAGATGAAATTACACGTCTTGCACGTACATGTTTTGCCTATTAAATGTCACTTGTCTTATGACTAAGATCTGTTTATGAGTCATGAATCATTGGTCAAAAGACATTTTTGTACCAAATATTTTTAGTAAATTTAGTTGTGTCCATCTGTCTTGCTAAGAAGTTTGCCAGAGGCTATTTTTACTTGTGTTGGGGTATGATTTGTTTCACCTGGTGTGTGGTCTTGTGGTTAGCATTGTATCTTTATAGCAAATGAACAATACAGATCTAGGTATTTTTCAGTAATACTTCTGTTCATTATCATTGTTCATCATCAGAAGGTAAAAAAAAGGAAGTGCAATTGTGTTGTCACAAGGAAAAAAAATAGGTCCTCTATTTTCAAACTAGCAATTAAAAGTTGTAATTTTCTGTACTTTTTGATATGTAGACTCTTTTCTTATTGATTTTTTAAACAATTGATCTCACTTTGCAGTACTATTTTTGTTGTTAGTTTTTCTTTGACAGGAAAATTCCTGCCAAAAAATGTTAAGCACCACCCAAAACTTTATTCCAGTTTTATTAGTAAAGTTGAAGCCTATGCCATTGTGCTACAGGCTTCCTGGGGTTACCCATCATTTCAGTCCAGTGCCTTAGTGAGCTGCCAGTGGTGCGGTATCCCAAGATTATTTGGCCAATCATCTCATTTTGTGTGATACGGTCAAAGTCCATAACAGTGAAGACAAAGGTTATGTCTCTAAGCTTGTCAACTGGAACATAGAATATGAAGGATTCATTCCACACAGGATCTTTTGATCTCCTCTTTATTGTTGTTTTCTTCTTGTCTAACCTCTTCCCTCCATGCATGGAATAGATTTTAACATATGGATCTGGAAAATGTTGATTATGTTGTTCATGAAACTTGTTAGATACAAATGAGGAAAGACTAACAAGTGTTGGGAAAAAAAAAAAAAAAAGTACACCCTTGGCTCAGACCATTCCCTTACAAAATGCAAGCAGTTATGTAACCTTATAAATCAGACATACTGACATACTGTTTTCTATTGTACCTCTTAAAGTTCCTGTCTTCAGCTGCACAATGCCCTCCCCCCCCAACATACACTTACTTAAACCCAATTTAAGGCATGGACATGCTTCCTTAAATTTGTGATTTCTTCTCATAAAAAGACTGGTGATACCTCGAAAGAAGTAGAGACCCTATATCTCTGTCAGCTACCCAGAAATATTTGAATATTAAACTTCCTTTGCTATTGAACTCTATACAGTCTTGACTATGTTGTCAAATGGCAGTTTGCAAGTGGCCTGGGCCTGCCCAGGAACAGCAATGGAAGTTGCAGTGCATTCAAAAAAAGCAGATTCAATCCTTCTTTAATTAACTTTATAACTGTATTAAAAATCTGTTTCACCTAAACAATTCAACAAATGAACTTTGGTCCCACCACTAACTAAATGACTGTTGTAATCAAGCCTGACATCACAGAAGCCAATCAACATGTGAGGTCTTGGGTAATATTTAACAAAAACTGCTCAAAAAAGCAGTACTCTCAGATGACTTTTTTCTAACACAGTCTTCCATAATGAGCTGTGTAAAGGACCTAAAAGCTTTTTTTGGTTCAAAGAGAAACTTGATCATCTAGAGTCATAATTGTTGTATTTTTCCTCACCACATGATCCAATGAAGTCCATCTTCTTTAGTTTTGAGGCTTTCATGACAACAACCACAATTCTGTTATTTGTGGGTTGGTACATCATGGAGATAAGAAGGTCTCCCAGGTGTTCCTGTCACAGAGTAAGACAGAATCACTATTACAAAATGAAAATCTCTTCCAGATAGAATTGTATGATGTGTAGTTATGAATAAGAAGAATTTATATGTTGATAAATGGACTGACATCAAACCAATCTCAGACAAGCACTTTTGTCGGTTTCTGTTGCTGTATTTACCAACTTGTAATATACTGGAAGTAAAACAGTTGACTTTGATGCATGTTAGGTCAGCTGGTATTTTTGTGACCAATAGAAATACTCTTATGACAAGTCAACATGTTATAAATAAAAATAATTTTTAACAACTCTACTGTGTTGATAAAGCCATAAATTATGAATGTCACAATGTATTATGAATGTTTTCCAAGGACATAATGGGTGAGGGTTCATTGCCAGGAAACCAACTGAACAGGGAAATATTTTCATGAAATCCTGATTACTTCATTTAAATTATCTTCCTGTTTACTAATCACCTTCCATCAATAAAGTAAATAAGGATCTGGGAAGAATGGCCATGACAGATACTTAAATAGAAGACTAGATCACAAAAAACTCTTTTTGTACATCAAATTTTATGTATAAACAATGCTTATTATTTTCCTCAGTTCAGATGTCACTGGTTCAAATTTTCTCAAGACCTTTTAATATTGTTTGGGTAGCTAAATCAATGTGTTTTGTTTCATCATTTTCATAATACACCACAACAATAGCATTGCATATTAAATACCAATAGTACACTGATTAATTTTTGTTTTTGGACAAATTCAAACAGCCATCTTTCAAGGATTATTACTTTGTGAGAGTTAAAGATATTAGTTTAAAAAAACCTCTTATTCAAAAGCTTTTAAATAGTACTGGCACCATACAAGATTCCTTGATAGCAGATATTTGTTATAATAATGAAGAGAATTTCTTCTATGTTCGTCCAGAAGTTACTATTCCACCTAATCAGAAACTGGCTCAAAGGAAAATAAAAGTGTTTTGGCATATTATGCATATTTATTGAAGATTAGATTATCTGCATATCAGTAAAGATCTACTTGTTTATTTTCAAGATCTTTTCAATTTTGGCATTTTTTTTAATCAATATTTCCTGAAAAATGAAAAATCATCCCATTCTATTTCCTCTCACCAGTTTTGCATTATATTGTAATAAAAAAATAATGACTTCTTTTCAATACAGTCATTATGATCGTGCTACAGATGGCCATCTGGTGTTCAAATAAAATTTGATTCCTAATGCAGAGAAAAGTGTGTTTCTTTTGCCCAAACTTAGAGACACTTTAAAACTTTGAAACATCATAGTATGGATCAGATCGATTCCATGTTAAATGTTATTTTACAAATTGGCTTCATTTTATAACCAAACATCAAATGGCAAACCTGTTAATTTCAGAGGGCAGATTTGAAGAAGAAAAGGAGGGTTGAAATTGTTCCTTAGCAGAGCTTTTAGGCTAATGGTACAGCTATAATTTTATCAAAATTATTTTGTCTCCGGAATATGTAAAATTAAGAAAAAAAATGAAGAAAAATAGCCTTTTGGGTAACCATAATCTTACTTTTCATACGTGTAACGGTGGGCCATTCTTTTTTGTAAATTATTTATTACTCTGTTCATTTTACACAACACACATCGTGTTGAGTAATGGACAAAACTTTGCGCAAGTTTTCTCCAAAATAATCTGTTCCACGAAGTATCTTTTAGGCAGTGACAGAAAAAAAAAATTAGCTAATCGAGAGATTTTCGGTCAAGGAAATTAGGGATTAATATTCAGCGAACCTATTTTAATATCCTTTGGCCGGCGGTAAATGTTGATAAGAGTTTAAATTATGCATATTTTGTGACCAAAAGCTATATCTGTATTAACGCGAAGGATGTCATGTAAATACAAAAATTACCCGAATACATGAAATGAGCAATAGGAGTAAATCAAACTTCCACCAGTTTACTGCATGAAATTAAAATGTCACGTAATGAAAACATCGCGGATTTTTCATTCATGAAATCTGTTTTAAGCAGATGAGTAGTTTGCGATAAGACGTCCATCTGCAATTAAGTCGGTTCTTTGTATTTCACTTGCGAAAACATGGTAATATCCCAGTTTACAAAATTAAAGAAAACAACCTATGGCATTAATTAGCTGTACACGCGAAGTGCTAATAATGTGTTTTCGACAACGATCAAAACATTTTAAGAGTCTCTAGAGAAACCTTTTTTCTGGGAAGATAAAAACAATTTTCGAAAACCACGAGATAATGTTGAAATGAATTTTTTTGCCACCAAAGAAAGATATTGACACTCTACCTGGCGTTTACAGGGTTGTAGATCCTTGCAGAAAGTCAGAGTCATTGGCCCCAAGTCAATATCGCTCAACGGGATTTCAATTTCTCCTATGGGATCGTTCCGAGAAAAACGATCGTAGTCCAGTACTTGAAGATACAACGTTCGACTTAATAGCTTGTTATGAGGGAAACCTTCAAATCTAAAAACCTCGTTCCATGTTGGGTTGAGATTTTTCCTTTTAATTCGAGTTTCCATTTTGTGCTTTTTATCTGGAAGCAGCAGAATTTTCACAAACGGGTCGCTGGTTCCGCTAAAATCTTTGGCCGGAAGTCCGGACGCTTTTATAATTTTCAACGTGAGTACCATTTCTTGGGAATCGTAGCTAATTGAGAAGTAAACCTTTCCGAGGTCCTCTTTGGTCGATGATTGATCGATTAAAGGAGGCTCTGGCGGGATGACAAAGTTTGAGATATCCGGCTGAGGTGCTTGTACATCGTACTCTTGTGGAGGCGGCTGAGAAAATTTTAACGATTTTTTCGGATACCCAGGCAATTCAATGCGCTTTTCAGGCGGTGAAACGTCCGACAGCGTCGAGTATTTCGCAAATGCACGGTATTTGTGCCCTGGGACTCCGTAGAGTTGAGAGTCCGAGGATGAATCATAGTCGCTTTCTGTACTCTCTCCATCCTTCTCTGATCCCTTCCAACATTTGTAACACCAAGAACAGATCACCACTATACTTCCAAGAGAAACAATGCTGGCTATTACAGCGAGTGCGCTAGAACCGTAAGAAACTGTAGAATGTAAGGAGAAAGAGCGTGAGTGAGGGAGATAAAGTTTATTTATGATATTCGATAGGGAAAAAATAAACTTACTTTTTCCGTCTAGCAATATTTTGAATTTGATGTATACTTGACCGTTGGAAACATCCAAGATTTAAGTTAGTTTTCTGCGGTTGTTATTGTTTATTATACGTTTAAAGGCTCTTGGAATAACGCTCTTTTTTTTCTTTTCTTTTTTTCTAATCACTCGTTCGAAAATCCCTTTGAAATACGAGCGAAATAGAAAACCATTTAAACGCACAAAGACATTTCAAGGTTGATTGCTTCCGGTGGAAATTAAGACCAACGTCTTCCAACGAACTACCCAGTTTTCACGCGATGTCCTTTTCTGAAAAAAGCGAAGAATCTTTTGTTTCTTTGGCCAAGTGCTCAAAACTTCTACTCTTTATAACCTTACATAAACAGTGGCCCATATCATGTCGATGCCGTCGGTTATTTTGCCACAGGAAATATTCAAAGGAGACTCTACATCTAAACATTATTTTTACCATTCACACATTACGTTAAGGGGTTTCAAACTTTGACCGACTTCAGAGCGAAGGCTTTGTATTAAATCATCATCATCGTTGGCAGATGATAAAGAACAAAACTGTTTTGTTAAGTTCTCAGCCCTCGTGTTGAATTTGCTTAAATTAAAATCAAAGAGCAACTTTTACATTATTACTCGCCTGTGTTCTCATGAGAAGTGTGTTGATAGAGACTAATCATCTTTCAGCGTTACATCTACGCATATTTCTTAATTCTCCGCAGCATCCATTGAGTTGGTGCTTTGACAGAACCGATCCCAGTGATCGACCACTAAATTGTCGTTGCGATACCTTTGAACGAGTTTTAATGTTTTTTTGACTTTTTCACCTCCGCATAATCATTAACTTTATTGTTCGCCATGGCAACTTAAGCTTGATTGGCAGAAAGATAATAAAAGGAATTTGTAATCAAAGCGGAAAACTCGCGCCAAATTTGCATGTCCCTTACTAGTGTTGCTAACTGAAACACGTCTGTCGCAGACCAATTGTGGTCGATTTGCCCTCCAGCGCCTCATGTCTGCGGGGCAAACTGTAGTCAACACTTTGTCATCAAACTCTCATTGAAAAACTTTAAAGCTTTTAATTTTCTCTTCTACGTTTCATGGTCGCTTGGGAATAAACTGTATATTCTTTGAGGTGTTCTGCATTTAAGTGAAGCCTGCGGTGCATGAGGACAAAGAGGTTACACCAAAATTCCGCCTTCCTTACACGCACTGACCCATGAAATGTAACTCTTTCGATAGACCCGAGATTATCAAGACACTTCTTAAAAAACTAACCGTTATTTCTACTTGTTAGAGTCAGACTTTACAGTTCGTTAGATATTCGTTCAGAAACATTTTGATTAAAGTATCCCTTAGAGGTACGATATATTCGATTCACTGTCGTGGGCGTTGCTTAAACTATTCACAAAAATGTCATTGGAGGTAAATAAAAGAGCTGCTCAAAGGAAAAAATATTCACCGAAACATTTATTCCTCGTAGAACTGACGTAGTTTTGAGGTTCCACATATTCGAAGAACTCGTTTTGTAAACAGCTACGTGAAAACGTAATCAAAGATTTTGCTCCCTTACGATTCGCCCCCGTTGCGACGAATATTCATGCACCCCCGACTAACAAGTTCCTCCCCCCTGATTGCGTCGTTTGTTGTTTTTTTTATCCTCTTGTGCATGTACTTTGTTGTTTTGTGTTCGTTTAGGAAGTTACACTAAACCAGGCTAAGTCATATTTCTTGACCAACGTTCAAGCTCGATAAGTAAGATCGTTGTGTTGACTAAGTGTCGTAAATGATGCCCTTTCTTCTGTCGTTTCACCACTGGCATTTCGTATCGAATTTCATTTAACTGCTGCCTACACGCGATTTCTTGAAAGTTCTAGGAACGGCAATTTAATCTGCAGCCTCCTTCAAGTTCTTTTGTCATTTAGTTCAGGGTGAATTAGTTTTAATTCAGGATGACTTATCTACTGGTAATTTTTTTTTAACGTTCAGAACCTTCGTTACGTGTATTTGATGGGTGTTGCCGTTGACCTTCTAATCCATCCAATCCATATTATATAAATATCAGCTTGTTCCTGATGAAATCAAGCTTCTGCTCCGCAAGCTAAATCTATGTTGTAATCTCGTAATAAGATCACATCAATTTATTTCGATGACATACTTTTCACTGTCGAGGAGACGATAATTATAATAACCTTCAAATGAAGCAGTACCGAACCAAGATATAATTCTCAAAGGAACAAAACTGCCGAATGCACAAAATGACGATGAATATCTCAGCCAGTTTCGACTCGTGTAAGACCAAGCTTGATATGATTAAAGAAGCTAAGTGAAAGACAGAAATGCTAAGGCACAGAGGAAGAACGAGCGTACTCATACACAAAACAAAAAACAACAACAACAGTCAACATCTGGTGCTCCCATTAAGACAGTGCGCTGAAGGAGCCTTGCCCGCCTATTAAATAATATATTCTCATCTCGAATGGCCGAGATCTTGGCAGGGCGATACTGGAGCAGCAATTTGATTTTCAATGCAAGTACTTCATCGATTTTGTGGCACTGAACAGATGTGCAAAGATCAGTAGGCAAATATTGACTATTATTTATATCGACAGGAAAGTTATAGGTGGAAATTTGGCTGGCAGTTTGGCCTTGGTTATGAGAATTTGAAACTTTATATTGCACAATACATTCCTACGTGTCAGTTAGACAGTTCGAAAGCAATGATTCATGTCGAAACTGTTGAGTTTTTTACTATTTCTGCTAACTGGTTAAAAAGACACTTGCTTCTTTTATAACGATTACCGGAAGGTAATTATCACCGGGTGAATGAACAATTTTTTCGGGGGGGTGGTGGTGGTAGTGGTGGGGAGTGGGGTAGGGCTAGAGGGTGAAGGCAGTTTGTAGATTTACACAGGTGACCTTTCTCGCCCTAAAGTTACTCAAACTAAAAAAATGCGATTGAGATAAACTACCTGCGTTTTAATCTCGAATTTAGCATGTGTCGAACAATTGCTTGATGAAACCGTAGACTTTCAATCACGAATTACATGAGACTACAGTGACAGCATTTCGCATGTGGTTACGGTAAAAACGAGGCACAACCAGCGAGCGGACTTATGTTGACAAGTAATGATTATTGGAGGTAATGAAGAGCAGCTTCGTTTCCAGCTATCAGTAACAAGTCAGTGCCATTAACAATACATTAATAAGAAATAACAATACCTTTTCCGACGTATATTGAACATATTTTGCGGTATATTTCTGGAGCTGTGAAATATATAAAAGGCAAAAAAATTACCAAAAAAGATTCTTAAGACAAAACGGGATTACAGAGTGAAAGATAAGGGAAACTGACTCATTTCGTAACAAAACGCATTCGCCTGCTGTACTGCGAAACTCTAGAGGACTTAGGCTCCCGGTATAATTTGAGGAAAAGAAAACGGTACATTAATCAGCAACTCTTATTTAGTTTAGAGCGGGTCCTCAAAACTATTGAATTAAGTTCATTACTCAGACAGACTCTCTTTCGGATCGTGAAGTGCGATTGGAATTTTTTCAAATGTGAGATTGAACCGCTCGGCATCAGTAGATCCAAAACAACTACAATTATTAAGATAGGGTGCCTTTTCTATACAAATAATCAAAAGCGCATTACAATTATAATACTACAAATAATAATAACTCAATAAAACTATACGTGTGTGTTTGTTATAAAAATGTACGTAAAACATCTTCACTGAAATGCCTTGGAAAACAAATAAGTCTTAAGTAAACGCTTAAAAGAATCATTTTTTTTTATCTTGCCTTATTGGTAAAGGAAGGCCGTTCCATAGGACTGGGGCCGTCACCGTAAACGATCGGTCCCCATAGTCTTTGTCGTTATGAATCATGTAGATTCAAAAGGAGTGGACACTTAACTTTAACAAGATACTAGTCATATTTGGAATAACTGTTTTGTTACTCGATGAGCTGTACGAAGGTTTCGCCTTAATGCAAATTCGCCCTCTTCCAGTTCGCCCCTATGACGATGAGTACGCCCCTCAATAGATAAAACTTTTGCCCAATATCTTCAACTCTTCTCCGCCTTAAGAATTATCTCTTTTTCGCAAAAAAAAACAACAACAAAAGAAATAATAATAAATATGACTTATAATTTCGTTAGAAAAGAGGCATGATCTGCTGTGATATGATAAAAGTGATGGAGCGAACTAATAGTGAAAAGGGCGAAACAGCTGGAGGCGAACTTTTAGTGGGATGAAACGTCCAGATACGGATGAGATAAAGTGAAGTGCCTCAGGAAATCATGAATCTTTGCGCGTAGTTTCAAATTATATCTGTAACTATGTCCTATACATCGGGTAGAAGTGAGAACGGTGACGGTATATACATGGCCTTTTTCCTCTTTCCTTCTCTTCACTGCTGTAATTTCCAATTGAAAAACTGTAGGTCGAGAATAAACTTAATAGATAACAGTGCCGATGTATCTGAGTGTTCCACCTGATCTGATATTGTTTACAGATAAGTTTTTATTCACTCTGATTCCGATTCGAGCTTTAAGTCAGTCCTCTATTTTTTCAATCTCATTTGTACATCACGTCCATAAAAACCCCTGCATTTCCTTTTCACCTTCCAGGTGGTCTTAAAGGAAATTTAATGATAGCAACACGTAACACGAGTGCGTGTAGTCTCGATTCGTATCCTTCCCAATCTACGTTCAATCGAAACATCAGCGCGTTGCGTTGATTGTTGCTTACGACAAGTTAGTAGAGTCTAGCAAGTCAGATACAAGCAAAATTATATTGCGATAAACTACTAAACAATTGGGATATTTTTAATAGCATAGTGTACTGTTTATAACAACAAAAGCTAATGTAAATGTAATTTTTCCCCCTTTGTTATAACGGTAATAAATTCGGTTATTTTAACATACTTAACTTTATCAGTATGGGCACTAAACGACTCAGTTGAATGGGTACAAATCGACCGAGATGGGTATGAAACGACTGATGACCGGTTTCCGTAATGCCTGTAGATAATATGAGTCGCTCCTTATCTACAAGTAGATAAGGGTTCGGATCGAGATATTTTTCCAATAAAAGATATAAATATAAAATTTGTATATAGTTAACAGTTCTATCTCCTTCCTCGAGATCATAGTTATCCAAACATCGTAATGTTCCTCGGACTTTGATAATCTACTGCATCAAAACAAGCCGGAGACACCAATTTTTAAAGCGTCTGAAACGCTTTCCTTCACTAATGTGATTCAGTTCAGCGTGTTTGTCAGCGGGAAACTTAGGTCAGATACCAGATTTGTCTTGAAACTATGTCTGCTACCTGGTAACAGTGTATGACCATTTATGATCAGAAGTTACTTTCGCTCCCTGTTTAGTTGATCCTGTGATGGTCGTAGCTGTTATAATAAGTGCATTGTCCACCATACTAAGTTTTGTCCCGTCAGTCTTCTGTTGATTTCTTGCAGAGCACTTGGAAGCCTGGACACTAGTTCTGGTGGCACGCTGGTTGTTTTGTTTGATGGTGGGTTTACTGGGCGCGAATATCGTTTGCCTTTTATTCTTCGGTGAAGTGGTTTAGAATGAACTGAGTGGGTCTTTGGTTTGAGCGCTGAAGCAACGACTAAAGATTCTTCCCGGTTGCCCTATGGTTAAAAGTTGAAAGAAAAAAATTGCTTACGGGTATAATATTTAGCCAAAAAATTGTTTATCTTTTTTAAATTTGACTATTTTTGGAAAACTGACGTGATGGCTCAGTATAAGGTTGAGTTCTGTTATTTTATACTATATTTTCCTGAAAAAGAAGGTGGTCCAAGCAAATCAAATGAGCTTTAGAATGACTTAGCTGAGAACACGAAAAATAACGGATCGTCTCATGCTACTGAATCTTTAACGACTTTTTTGCGAATTTTGCAACTCTATTCCTTGACCCAAGACTCGATTTGTTATCAAACGCGCGTGAGTTCGCGCCAGGTGCGCGCGAAATGCTTGTCTCTACAATTCGCGCTTTGGAACTTCAGAGTGAGATGCCATGACTACTACTTTCAAAATGGCAGTTATTCAATTTCTAATGCAAGTTCTCCTTTGCGGAAAGATATCATGTTCGTTTGTGTTGTTATTTTTTTGTAGGCTCTTTCAGTATGATCCACGGTAATGACTCTTAAACGTTAAGCGAGTTTTCGGAAGTGATGAAAACAAACGGTCATTCTATCTGTGATAACTCTATAAGTCAGTCCATTCAAAACATAGCATTTCGCCTCTCTGTCCTCCCTTTCCACTCGAGCGAACTCCAGGGAAAACCACGAGTTTCAAGGTCGATATCAGTGGGAGAAAAGGCTTGACCTGTTTATTATTCTGGGCTCGCCGAGAATAATTTTCTATTTTTCTGTCACGTAAGTACCTTGTGTTCTTTGAGAGGTTGTTGGGAAGTTCCCTTTTCGCTGGCTTTTCGGTTTTGTCGTACCAACTGTTTTATTCTCCTGTTTTCCAAGCGTGTGTATAACTCAGCGCGATATTCTGCAGGAAAAGCAACAAAAAATTTCACTGTTTGCCTTCAAGAGTATTTTCAGAGATGATCAAAATGTATTGGCACAGGCTTACAGGCCACTTAAACAGCATAGAAATTAAAAAAGAAACTTGATATTGCGCGGCTTTTCAAACTGTCTATAGATTCATAAATGTTTTTCACCCACTCGGATTAAACTTTCTTCACTAACTGAATAGGAAACTTGCCTGAGAACCTCTTTCCACAAATCTTTCTCACGTCTTTGAACACGTGACCACAAACGCATGACCTGCAAGACTCTGTCATCTACGGGGGGAGGGAAAGGATGACCATGTCAGTATTGGAGCAAAAGTGTACAACTTCCGCGTTTCATGCAACACGAAACTTCAACAAGGATACAATTTGCTAATTTGCATTTGATTACGGTGATCTGAAGAATTCGTTGCTATAAGTGAGTTTTAGAGGAACTGGGAGTATTCACTCGTGCAAGTGATCTGAACGCCATCTATGGGCACATTTTTCTTTTGCTTGGGCGTGTTAAAAAAGCATTGTTCGGCGTTTGCCCATAATTTAGACTCGTTTTGTTCTACGGAAAAGCTAGAAATGCTGAAAAAATCTCGTGCATTCGACGCTGAAAAACGAAACGAATGAAATTCTTCTGTTAAGGTTAATTTGTCATAGTTATACATAATTTTGACATCGATTTTGGAAAATGGAAGACTGTGAAAGGACGCGTTTTGTCTGGCTCGCTGAGGCGCGCATCAGGGATAGAGGTCAGGTCGATTCCGATATTTTGGGACGCAGTTAAATTTCAGCTGAGGCTTACTAGAAGGGAAACTCGAAGCCAAATTTGTTCAGTGTGAATACATATTGCGTCAAGGATTTCTTTGTAAAGCATTTCGCTTGTGTGTTCGACAAATCACTGAGAAGAGTTCCAACTGAAGTCTGGGTTGATGATGTATTTGTTACGCCCACCGAACATTTCTGCTGACAAGTTATATCTTGAATTTTTCTTCACTGCGAACAAATTACTTTTGTTTAGAATAAGCGTAGTATATAAAATATGACTACAGGCGGCCAATATTCGTGCAGAGGAGAGGCTGTTTCGTAAAAAGTTTTCTCAGTTCATTTGAAGTGATCGGTACTGGGTTAGCCGCCTCCGTCGCTTCACCCGCCCGCCAACACTCGCTAATTGCACGTGCATTTAAGTTTGTCTTTTGCCATGTTTGTACCTCGAAATCTTTAATTCAAACCCCAGCCATGTCAGCCGATTTTCTTACTTCCCTTTGGTTAATTCTCGGTGATGTTTAACTTTTCGAGCAACGATGTAATGCGCGTTGTGCGATGTTGTGTGACGGACTGAGGCCCGTTGATCATGCGATTATGAAAATTAACGACCGACGACAAATTTGAATATTAGCGACGTAGACCATTCTTGTAGAATAATGATCTTATTTCGAGACAAAATTTGTTTAAAACTTACCACTGTGTTACATGCCAAACATTGCTGGAGAACCATGTTGAATTTGTGGCCTGCTCAGCTTACTCTGGTATAGTTCTTGATGTGGGCACTGACGGTTTTGTAATGAAGTGATCTTTGCGCAACTTGACATAATAAGCCACAAGCTGGTTTGCGTTGGTGGTGTGACGTCACGATTAAAACGGTTCAAATCACTAACTCTGCTTTACCAAACGAAAACTAGCGATTATTCATTTTCAAAGAATTCTTTCAAAATTATTTGTTTCTTGAAAAAAAAAGAAATGTCTGAATTCACACCGGACTAAAAGGGAAAGACAACAAACCTGAAAGGATATTTTTTTTACGGGCAATTTACTTATCCCACGTAACGGACGAACTAAATTTGTAAAACCGGTTTTACTTGCATTGACTTGTTTGACCCCGAATGTATTTTCACTAGCAGAAATCATTTAGGTTGAAGTGGGCGATCGGCCATCTAAAATGTTGGCAAAACAACGATAAATGGAGAGTCATAAATGGTCTTTTTAACAAATTATTTCCTTAGGTCGAGGAAATGTCCCAGAATTTTGGCGCCCGACCGAAGTGCTATTGACTGTGAGGATTAAAACTGACCTTATAGTCCCCTGACGTATGGTGTCTTTTATGTCTTAAATAACTTTTGTTTAGTTCAGCAATATTCATTTTTAAGCGTAAGCCCTATTTATGGCAATCGTGAATCCAATTGCCTAAGACACTGAACTTATATACAGATCGTCACGGGCATCATTTTACTATGACCTAGAATTCTACGTAATAATCACTTTTCGATTGCCTAGATAGGAGGGTAGTTTAAAGCCAAAAAATTGTTGTTCTTTTTTTCATTTCTTATCATTACAAACGTCAACAAAGTAACTGAGCGGGGATGAAGAAGAAGAAGAAGTTCCTAATCTTTCTTCATGGGTTTATTCTTTTTGTCATCAGGGAACTGGTCGAAGATCATTTCGGTTAAAAAAAAAAAAAAACTGTAATGAGCTTGGTATAAAAGCCACTCACAAGTTTCCTGTGTCTTGAGAACGGTCAAATAGGAAATTAGAAATGAATTGTTATGAGTATAATGGTCTGTGAAGTACATACGAGAAAAATTCCACGTATTTTTTGCTGATAGAGCTATTTCCAATTTTTAAAATCTTAAAGGCCTATAATTGTTTGAAGTAACTGAGAATTTTGTACGGAAATTGCTGTGTAATTCCCCTGAAGAACAAGGGTTAGCTACAACAATCCTCTCAGTTCAAATTGAGGCGCGGCCGGCAACCAAACTTTGTAAGAAGGAAGTGAAATGTGTAAAGATAACATTTTTTGAAAACCATTTTAATGTGATTTTCGTGGTCCCGCACGATTGTATGTAACAGTTATAGTCGTAATGTAGTGTGATTTGCCGACCAAACCTTTGTTTGAACTCAAGACAAAACGAGAAAAGGTAACATTAACTTCCAACGCCTAAAAAACGTCATAACATTTGGATGATGAATAGATGATGGACCGGAAGACATTTTTGCATCTGCTCCAATATTACTCACCTTGAAACTATTTTTCTTCGAAGGTCAGCTCACCTACGACAATAGTTATCATTATTTCTTTCATTGTTTTTAATTGATACATGTACATGCTTTTGTCATGACAAAATCGCCACAATATGTGGAAACGAGCCATAATTATTCCACATGACTGACTTGGCAGAGTTTAAATCTTTCCTCCTCAGTGGTTTTTCACATTCAAACAATTTCAACATTTTTTATTGCGATAAGATTACATTACATATCTAGCTATCTGCCTTGCCCCCAGCTCTCTCGTTATTAAAAGTGATTAAGAATTTTTCGCTGAGCTTTATACAAACTAACTAGTTCGCATTTGAATACCAGAAGTAACGCTAGTTATATCATTATTGTCGGTGCTAATATTTTAAATTTGGTTGGTTTTGTCATTTCTTTCGTAGGTAGTGGTATTGGTATTGCGGAAAAAAAGTAGTGCAAAAATTGTATTGAAGTTGTGTAAGAGTCGTTTGATAAAAATGTTGTTATATCATTCTTTCTTTACAAGTTTCTTTGAGTTAAAAAAAAGACTGGAAAACTTTTGTAAAGCAAGTTTAAGTAGCCTAGATATCGTAAGTTAGGCTACATCAGTATCCTAAGTAATGTATTGTTAATATCGTAGGAGAGTATAAAATAAAAAAAAGTAATCAAGAATATTTTTGTCATTTTCAGGTTCAATTTTTTTGCAACCGTGTTAGTGCACCTTTATCAGAGCTTCGGTGGAAATAACTTCTTTACATAATCCCTCAAATCACGAAAAACAAGTGCACTGCAGGCTTCATTTATTTTCAGGCATCAGACTGAAATGAAAGAGGACTTATGCCACTTAAGAAAACAAAAGATATCTTTAGGCGGGTCACCTTTGCTTGGATGAAGTTTCAAACAGTTGATCCTACTATCATTTGGAATGCTTTGCATTTGTGCGGAAAGATACAGAAACTGGCTAATCAGTTTAAATAAAATACCCCACCTATTTAACTAAAAACGGAAATATCGGCATAGTCTTGAATGGTTTCAGAATCGATATCGTGACTCTTGACTGTAATCCTCTCTGAGGCTGACAGGAAATGTGGCATATTTTCAAGTTTAGAAAGTCCTTTAAAGTAAGAATTGTTACTGCATCCAGCGAACTGTCCACCACATCAGATTCTGTCCTGTCAATCTTCTGTTGATTTCCTGAAGAGCATCAGGAAGCCTGGACACTAATTCCGGGGGAGGGGAAGTTTTGCTTGTTTTAGAGCCAGTTGTGCGCGAACTGAATGTTTTGGCTTTCATTCGTCGGGTAGCAGATTGGCTGGGTGTCTGTGTTTTCTTCTTAAGGGGTAAATGTATGGCTGCTGGTGTTTGATCTGCCGCCGCCCTAGTCTGGGAATGAGAAAAGTGAGTGATCAATATGTGTTTATGATAGAAACAGATGTTATGAAATGTTATTATTTTTTTTTTGGCGCCCTACAAAACTATTGTCATATCGGAGAAGCAGCACAATAAAGCCAATAGGGACATGTAAAATGCTTGAAGGAAAATGACAAGCGAAGAAGATGATAAACAATGGAGAAAACTGGGAGAATCAAACTCTTAATCAACTCGCATCACAAATAAAGAACTTGATAACTGAACGAGAAAAATAGGCAACGGGCAGATTAGGATGCAAGGAAGCATAGCGACATTCATCGATTCCTATCCCGCTGACGTCTCCAATGAAGACCAGACGTAATCGCACCTTTGAAAAAAATGCGAAGGTGGAAATTTTGTGGGATGACTAACACTTTGATACGACTTGAAAGCACCCGGTTTCCATGGAACTGAAATGTGAGCATGATGAGTGATACCAATTTATCTTCAATGAAAGAAAACTTTAACTTTCCGAGTGTTAAACTACTTCCCTGACCTCGAGTCGTGTCTGTTTAATATTCTTCGTTTTCCTTCTCTTTTCCCTTGTGAGTCTTCTCACTCTTCTGTTTTCCAATCGAGAATATAGCTCAACTCGATATTCTGGAAAAGGAAAAGAGGTGCCGTGAGGTAAACTGTTTTAAAACTGGCATATGGAGAGAGTCACACTCTTCCCTCAGGCTTTTCCCAACATGTGAATTAGATTTAAATGAGCACTTAAAGACCGACCCTAAGGGAACTAGTGTGTTTTGTCTCCTCGAGCCCCCTAATATTCCCTGAGGCGAAGCTGAGGACAACATCGAGGGGCTCGGAGAAACAAAACTCACTCTTTCCCGTGGGAACCGGCAATCATAAAGAATTCGTTACATCCCCAACTCAAAACTAAGGAAATTACATACAGGTGTTACCGACTTTATTGCAAAATGTTCCAGATTTCAATCGCAAATTGTTATAAATTCACGTTGGTGTTTTCCCGTGGAGTTAGTGAGTTTTTACCCATAGCAACTGACAACACCTTCTCCTTCAATCGATAAGTATTTATGTTTGAAGGTATGATGATGAAAATAAGAGACCTTTTCTCGTCATTTTAAACTTCGGAAAAGATTGAATAATATGCAATTCTCAGAAGCTAATATAACACATCCATTTGAAATGCTACCGAAGGATATCAAATGGTGGAAGTGGATAGGTAATGAAAATTGGTCTGAATTATCGATAGCTTTATTTACTGGGAGGCGTATACATTACCGGACTTGATAACTTGAAGACGCGAATTACAGTCGCAAAATTAATAAAGAAATAATTAATATAAATGGTAATAGGACCGAGTGGAGTCGGTTTGTGATTATACGAGTGACAACCATGTCGGACGACCGCGCAGCGGGAGTCCGATTCGTTCATCACGAGTATGATTACAGACCGAATTGGACGACACGAAGTCTTATTACCAATTAATCACCAAAATTACAATTCCCGAGAAACAAGAATAGCCAAGTTATGGAAGAAAGGGAAAATTTGGATTAAAAGACTGACAATTTGGTGATTGAAACCAAGGTTGTGATTGGTTAATTTAAACTACAATTTTGAATGTGATTGGTTTATTGAACTGCCCGATAGCAAACTGTCCGATAACAACTTGGCAAGTGAATTAGTGGAAAATAGGAGTTTTTTAAACCAATCACAATGGAGGAAATTGTAATTTTTATGATTCATCAAGAAATACTTCTTAGCTTTGAGGGACTGTCTGCCTTATAACGATTAAGGCTTACCTGAAAATCTCTTTCCACCAATCAGCTTACAGTGTTCAAACACGTGGCCGCATGCACATGAAGTGCATGAGTCAGTCTTCTGAGTCAGATGAGAGGGCGAGAAAATTAAAGCTGTGGCTGCTTAGGCTATTTTAAAATAAATACCGAGATACAATTCTCCACTTACGCTTGCGCCCACCACAATGGAAATCTTGCGGAGCATGCAAGCAGTTTAAAAATAAAAAGAACCTTTTGAGTCCTACTTATGTGAAATCAATTCTAATCTTTCCAGGGATAAGCTTGCTTGATTCATTCGCCTTTAAGCTACGATGCCGTGTCGTGAGGAGCATATCTGAGGTCGAACGGGCTCGCGCTAGTTTAGTTTGGTTTTGCTATGATTTTTGCCTTTCGGTTGTCCAGATTCGTAGTTATTACGACGGTTTCTTCAAATTTAAGTCTGTTTTGAAAATAATAGCATTACCAAAGGGATTGTGGTTAAGCCCTACCACGCGTGTTTGTCATTCAGCACCAGAAAGGGCGGTACGTCTAGATCGTTCTCAACTCTGAACTACATGAATATCGACACATGGAAAATCGACCGATAAACTAGAAAAATATTAGCAGAACACTTAATTTGGGGAAAAAAGAAGGCAAGAATATTTCACAAAATTAAAGACGAGTACTGATACGATGGGAAAAAGAAGAAAGGAAGACAGAATACAAATTTTCAGACGACGGAAGATTTGAATATTTAAACTACGGGAAAGAAAGCAGCTGCCAGAAGCGTATTCATCCATAACAATATCTCAAAGTCTGGAGATTTCTAATCTTACCACTGAGTTACAGGCCAAACACTGTTGGAGGACCATCTTGTCATAGCAAAGATCACGGAATCTTTAGATGATTATATCTATGTTTCTGCGCGTTACGACTCACTAGATTCCACAAACATACGAGCTTTAATAATAAGCCACACACCAGTCTGCCTCGGTATCGAGTAATGAGTCACGTGGCCAAAATTGAATTGATTGCAAACAAGGCAGGTGTGCATGTGTGAGCTGTATTGATGTAGCTCCATGGAATAAGCTGCCGTTGCTGAGATGACTTAAAAATATTTTACACAAAGAAATGAAAATTTTAACTTGTTTTCAACCGGCTGTATGACGAAGCCAAACAGGTTCTGTTTTCATTGAAGAATAATAAAATTGAAAATCGATCTACTTCACACAATCACATAATTTTAATTTAAACTTTTTGGTAAGAAACTGTGCATTTATTCCATGCAGAACCATTTGTGTGGTACTCGGTTTCCTTTGACGTAAAACTTCTATTGTCGCTCCAGTCATTTAATTATTGACTTCCTTATTTTTAATGATTGGTATGTAAGAAATCCCTTGCTCTGAAAGAAAATAGAAACCGTGGATGTGTGAAGGAAGTACTATCAATTTTCTAGATTCTCTCTTCCCATGAAAAAGCTTAATCAAAGGTTCAAATACATCAGTATTCATTTACGGAAAGTCGAAGAACGCTATCGAGCGTAGGATTGTATTGGCCTGTTACTAAGCAATTATCTATTACGTAGGACGTAAATCTTGTCTGATCCCTTAAGTGGCGTTAAACTCCACAAACATACATCATGAGAAAAATCAAGGCAAACTTTCCGAGCTCGGCCTCAATGGTATCAAGGTAATTTGGTATCATAAACTGAGTTGATAACGTAAATTACCGGGCCACCGTTAAGAGTTTGAAAGCTGACGGTTTGAGCGTTAGCCCTAGGTCAGAGCGAGTGACAAAGGGCTAACGCTCGAAACGTCAGCTTTCAAACTCTTAACGGTGGCCAATTTACGTTATCAACCCAGTTGATAATACCAAATTTCCTTGCTATACTCTCCCACCGACGTAGCACCATGGTGTCTTTAAGAATCTACCCCCTCGTTGACATCATGTCCGTGAATTAACAATTTCTCGGGAGAATTTAACTTCACAAACGGTTCGTTTGTCTCGAAAATGTATGCGTTCTGAGTCAATCGTTATCCAAGTTCGTTTCAGAGTCGTTCTTTCCATTTAGGCTTCGGGTGTTTTATCAAGTAATGCTTCATAGTTTTCTTTACGAAGTAAATGACTTAATATGTTTTGATAGGTTGGAGTGCAATTACATTATGTGATCTATTTTTAAAAGAAAAGTTATTATCAAGTCTTTTAAGTAGGCGGAAAGAAATGGAGATTGAGTACCACTCTCCATTTAAATTTGTTGTTCCACGTGCATCCGGTTTTGGCATTTATGTGTGACATTCTAACTTGGGGGTTAACTAAACCAAAAAAGGAGCTTTTTCACTTATTTCAAGAGCAATCTAAATTTGCATCGCGTTCACAGAAAGAAGAAGTCGTGACTACATACTTTGTGTCACGCGAGAAGTTCTTCCCAGGTTTGACGATATCAAATCGACTGAGCGTTTGACGAAAACTATCGGAATATCATAAAAACGTTTTCAATAAAAACAAAAATGACAACATGAATACGTGGTGCGAATTCAGACAGAGGTTTGAAGCAAAAGTCTCTTCAAGGGCTTAACGAGTAATCTTTGATTTTCAAATTTCTCGTTGGTTGTAGGTCTATGTCGATGAAAAGGTGCACTATGAATTAATCAAAACAATTTCCGGTCAGTTAAACACGTTTTAGAGAAACAATCATTGCTCTCAAAGGTCAGGCTTGTTCATATGCGTTCAATTCATTGCTGTGTTAATGATAAAATTGTCCACATTGGCATAAAAATCCATTGGGAACTTATGCTTTCCAGATGAAGTTTGGGAATAATCTTGCACTAGGACTTGACGTGGCATTGATTAAAATACAGTTCAGCCCAAGAGAACCCAAAGAGAAATGAATTCCGTGCATTAAAGCAACTTACCAACTTATTACACGCAATACAACGATCAAACACCATCTGTAAACTTCAGTGACATCAAGGCCAACGAAGTATTAAATTGTGGTTATAAAAAAAGTTATTTCCTGCTAACAAGGCAATATCAATAAGCTGACACAGCACTGAATCATAATCATACAGCTTTCTTAACTATAAGTAACATCACATGATTATGACGTAGCAGGCGAAGCGAGATAACTGATGTCATGTCCATTTTCTTTCAATCAAGGGGAAAGAAGGCGCTTGGAACCAGGACTTAGGTAGGCGATACAGAACTAAATGTTGTGGGGAAAAGATATCTATTCGACTGTTTCAGGTTTACAATATATACAACGTCAATAAAATATACCTCCTAGTTTTTATTGTTGCACTAAGATGCATTTCGTTTGAATCAAAGTCATTTTCACCTGGAAAGCCGGGATCTTTTCTTTGGTTAAATCGTTCAACATTTCTTATTCGTTTGACGTTATACAGTCGGGAAAATTATGGCGAAAGGTTAATTGATGTTTTTAAACGCCATGTGAAATAAAACCTAGAACTGTAAGGCGTGACTGCGTAGATATAGTACAATTACGACACCTCCCTTTCATGGATACAGCCAGTCAGTTGCCACAAACAACGAAAAAACAGTCGACATCCTTGTTCGATCATGCATTGGATCGATTGCAATCTTTAACATACTCTACAGCAACTTTGGATTAATCATCTAATTTATAATGAATTCTTAGTCCATCCTTTGCATATCCCTTTACAGACTAAACAAGCATTGTCAATTTTTTTTTATTTCAACCAGCATAAGTTTCATTTTCGAGACATTCATGATGTAACCTTTGTTTTTGGCAACAAATGTTTGTCATGACATGATCAAGCAGGAGTCCTATGACGCCTATTTTGCTTTGCTCAAAATAGCAATGACTCCCTAATTGTATATGGGATTGAAAACAGCTTCCACGCCTGACAATTTCTTTCCTTGCTTGAAATTGTGGTCTATCCGTTAAATCGTCCATCAGCCTTAAAGCCCATCAATAAATCCTCCGCATTTTATCAATTCCGTTGTCTCCTCACTTAGATAGAAAAGTTACTCATATCAAGGTTTGCACGAGTATTTTTCGGCTCATCTTTTCAGTGAAAGCACCTACGCAGTCCGCGTGACACATTTCAGGACTGGGATGTAGTTGTTTTTTTTCTGTTTGGTTAAACAACCCTAAGCTTTCTAGGGTTGCCTCGTACGAAAGCGAGTTACCGCTTTGTTTTTTTTTTTAATTTTTTTCTCAAACCAGCCGTAGACCGAAAAATCAGTCAATTACGGCTACCAGGTTTATGCTGCATCATGGGATAAAATCCAAAAGCGACACGTGAGTTACATCATGGGTTTGAGTTCTCCTCTTGATGCCCTCTTTGGTTCTTTCACCGTTGGCGTAGCTTTTATGATAACTGCATTGTCCACCATATCAAGTTCTGTCCTGTCAATCTTCTGTTAATTTCTTGCAGAGCACTCGGAAACCTGGACACTAGTTCAGGTGGCACAGAGGTTGTTTCGCTGGATGGCGTGTTGACAGGGCGCGAAAGACGTTTGCCTTTTGGTCTTCGGTGATATGTTTTTGAGCCAAGTGGACAGGTCTTGGGTTTAAGTGCTGAAGTAACAGCTAAGAATTCTTTTGGGTTGCTCTAGCGTAAAATTTAAAACGAAACGGTAAACATTTATCAGTATATACGGCTAGTTCTACACAGAGAAATCCAAGATGAATTAGCTTCGTTTTAAGTGTGAGTCTTATATTGTTATTTTGAAATTCAGACATGAATACTCGATGTTTCAGTTAAGTCGATCAGGAGGAGAAAAAATTGGAATTATTTTTGTGGGCTGAGCACTGAATTTTGTTTGTCCTAAATATACCTTGCGTTCTTTCAGAGGCTGTCGGGTAGTTTCCTTTCCGCTCGCTTTTCTGTTTGTTCTTACCAACTGCTTTATTCTCTTGTTTTCCAGGCGTGAATACAGCTCAACGCGGTATTCTGTGGGAAAAACAACGACAAAGTTCACGGATTAATTTTTCATTATTATTTAAGAACTAGACCACACTTTCTATCAGTTTAGCGATGTAACAATCCATTTTTTTATAAATGTGAGTTAAACTATCTAGCAAGCGAGCGCGGCCAGTTGTAAACTTGCCCGAGAATCTTTTTCCCGCGATTGCTTTGACGTCTTCGAGCACGTGACCACATACGCATGTCCGGCAAGATTCAGTCATCTGCAGGAGTGGGGTAAGAATCACAGCATTAGTATTTTTTAAAACAATTTGCAACTTCCGTGTTCAAAAAATATGGCATTTCAACGCAACAAGAAAATGTACGAAAGTAAAAGTGCACTAATTTGCATTTTTTTTACGGTTCGTCTGGAGAACGCCTTGTTATAAGAAATTTCAAAAGAACTTCGAGTTAATCAGCTCCAGAGAGGATTAGTTAAGCTGAAGGTCTTTAATCTGAATGGCAAAGAAAAATGGCCCACTTTAGGAAGATATTTCCCTTTTCTAGGCGAGGATGGTGTCGGATGTTTGTTGAAAACAACCCGTTTGGGTCAACAGACCCTGGTTGAAAATTGGTGCTAGCGCTGTAAACGGAATATTCACTTATCGGGAATCAAACGAGTAGGTAAAGAAAAATTGTTCCCACGTGTCCTTGCTTTCAAAATCGGTTTTGACCAAAGATGTCTGGCTCGCCAGGGCAGGCGTTAGGGAACAGGGGTCAAGACGATTCCGATATTTTACTGCAGTTGAGTTCACAGCCATTGCACACAAAAAGCAGTGAAACCAAACTTCTAGAGTAACAGCTCATTTTGACGCAACTAAAATCATCGCGGAATTTTTTTACTACAGCACAGCGAGAGGGCTTCTCAGTAAAGTCTGGTTTCGAAATCTTTATTGTTACACTCCCTCAGCAAGTTTGAATCTTTCCATAAAAGATGTTGTTTATATACATTGTAATTATTGATTGCCAACAAACCAAGCCTTGCTCATTGTGAAAGAAAAAACCGGAGTATTTGAAAAAGGATAAATTACAACCTCTATCTGGCGTCGAAGAGAGCGCTGTAGACAGCTCCCTCATGTCAGATAAGACCGGCGATCATTGTGTCGCCCGCTCGCCAACGTCCTCAAACGCATATAATGTCGATATTTCTTGCCATATTTTAATCTCGAAACGCTATGGATTTAAGCCACTGTTGATCGGCTGATTTCCTATTTTAATTTTGGGTCATTCATAGCGAGGTTTTTTAAAACGTTTTAAGCAGAATATAGCTTGTTCATGTTGTCGTGGTTGACTAAGGGCCGTCAGGATTATGAAAATTAACGACCGACAACAAATTTGAATATTTGCGAGCCAAACCATAACTCTGGAGAGACCAATTGTCCCAATTTTAGAGCATAATCCAACCTAAAGCGTCTAAACCTTACCATTGCGTTGCATGCCAAGCATTGCTGTAGAACCATGTTGAATTTGTGGCTAACTCCCGTGTAGCACTGGATATGAGGATATGAGAACTGACGGTTTTGTAATGAAGTGATCTTTGCGCAACTTGATATAATAAGCCACAAGCTGGTTGCGTTGGTGGTGTGACGTCACGATTAAAACAGTTCAAACCACTGACTCGGCGTTACATAACGAAACTGACTAGCGATTGTTTCGTTTTCAAAGAATTACATTTGTAAAAGTTTATTTTATAAGAAAGAAATCGAAACGTCTGAGTATACGAGAGATAATCAAACGAAGACAAAGACAAAGTTTTTAAGAGCCAATTTATTCATCCCACGCCACGAACGAGCTTTTTGGGAAACTGGTTTTACTCGCTTTGACTTTCCTGACCTCGCGTAGATTTTACAAGAACAAAAAAATTCTTGCTCTGAAGCTGAGTGGTTACTGGGTAAAATGTTTGCAGGATGACCTTATTAGGAATTTTTTTTTTTTTTGAAGGAAAATAGTCAAATTATTTAAGGAAAGTCATTTTCCCTCGCTTGTTGGTTAATCGATGTAGTAGATATCAAACTTGGCGCCCTCAGACACTATCCGTGCGGGGTGAATCTTTCCGCACATTCTTCATGTAAAGCATAATTTTCTTTTGTGTTTTACTGACTACATCTTTTGTTTAGTTTGGCGACATTTTTGTAAAGAATAGTCCTCATCTATAACAATCGTGGACCAAGTAGCCGAAGAAGCGAGTACTGTGAAAGATTCCGCCTGAACAATCTTCCCACAGAAGGGAATGACAATAATGTGTTGATATCTGTAATTTAAATCCTTTATTTTTTTAGGGATTATATTAACTTTTTGATGAAATGGTTCATGGACAGTTTCTGGTAAACCGGTTTATACTAACTCTGTCAGTTTTTTTTTTGCTTTCGGATCAGGAACATCCGCTTTCCACGTGGCCCTTTTATCGGGTCAATGACTTCTTTGGAAAAAATGATATCTATTCGTAAACCATTATTGTTGAACAGCTTCTCGTTGTTTTGCAATTCAGGATAGCACAGAGTATCATGAACCCACGTAAGGGTTCTTCTTTCTTGTGAAGAGTTGGATAGAAATAACGAGCGTAGTTTATCGGCCGGCTTTGATGAACGTGCTCGCGGGAGTACAAATTAAACCGTAAATTTATGTGCGGACATGGCCATTTTAAATTTAGCTTGTTAAAACGCCTACTGTTTAAAAAAGTTGCTACTTATGTTTCCTTCATGTATCCATTCAAATGTCGGGTAGTTGTATAATATTTGCGCAAAATCCTTTCGAGAACCTCCTGTGATGACAACTGGTCACTTAAAATGGGTCTTTTAAATTCAGCCGCGACTGACAATACAACTTGCCACTGAGTAAACTTTGCAAATATCCCTTGATGCGAAAAGAGCCGGTTTACTTTCAGTTTGCTGGTCGCATACAAACAGAAGTCTTTGCCGTGCTTTATATTTCTCATTTGTCGCTCTTCAAACTCAATAGGAATCCCGAAAGAATCCCTGAGAACATCATTATTGGCTTTTTAATTTTTTACGGATATTTGTGTCGACGGGGTTACTAGACAGTAATTAGGAGATGCAATTTATTTAAAAGTGCCACCACGTAACTATAAATGTTTCTTTGCGTGCCGACAGTAGGACAGCGGCGACTAATTTATCAGTTTTTTCTTTTTCAGTTCAGTATCATATGATAAAGGTGAAAGGCATGACAAAAGCGTCACTATATGGAATCGATATATATTGATTAAGACTGATTTTGGCAGAGTTTATCTCTATTTCCTGAGGTAGTTTTGTATTCAAACAGTTTTAAAAACTTTACTTAGAACCTAATATTTTACTTTTTCTCGCTAAAATTGTCGCTTCAGATGTCTTTGGCGCAATCAATGTTTGATAAATAATTCTATCCAGTTCTTCATAAAAAATGCATTACACTGACCGGTCTGCATATTTACAGATAACAGCATATTGCGAACTGATGAAAGAAGGTTTTGTGCTGAAATTAGAAACAACTGCTCAACTATCCGTTCCAGCTTTAGGAAATTAGGTCATTTTGCTTAAATAAACCCCCGGTCGTTTAAAATGCTTTGTATTTACATAGGAAACATCCCACCCATCAGATGCCATTGAAAGTGAGAAGAAAATATATACAAACCTACCCCTTGTTACGCCTGACCTGAATACAGCGGGGAAGTACGTCATTAAAGGAGTTGTAAGATAATGCACCTAAAGATAATGTGCATAAAGGAAATCGAGTTTTGATTTCGGAACGTAGCTAGCATATGTAAACTTGGCTTAGTAACCCCCTCCTATAGGAAATTCAATCACCTCGCTGCATGTGCAGGGTTTTTCAGTTAGTTCAAAATCGGTAAGACCGCAGAGAACAGATAACAATACTGATGCTGTCTTGTAATTTTTTTGGTTGTTTTTTTTAGTTCGTTGATTCCATAGATGACTTTTGGTCCTTCTCTTCCCTGTGGCCGGTTGGCAATATAAAACGTTTTACGTTGAGAATTTTAATCAGAAGGATAGCTGTCCGGACTTTTACTGCAGCCAGTGTACTGTCCACCACATGAGATTCTGTCCTGTCAACCTTCTGTTAATTTCTTGAAGAGCACTTGGAAGCCTAGACACGAGTTCTGGGGGCACGGCCGTTTTTTTTGGTACAGAGCCAGCTGTGTGCGAAAATCTTTTGGTTTTTATTCGTCGGTGAACCAAACCCGATCTGCCGGATGTGTGTGACGCCTTAACTTTACGCGGGGGATGCACGGAAGCTGTTTCTTCTGTCACTTTGTTGACCTAGGAATAAAACAAGAAAATATTTACAGTAACTAGAGAGAATCTACACTGCGAACACTCGTGGTACATGCCCAGAAAGGTTAGGCATTCATATTGTTTTCTCTTACATCGTCTAGCTTTACATAAGTTAAAAGGCGTCAACGAACTTTATATCACAAAATGATTTAAAGACCACGTATTGAGGCCAGCAGAAAATTGTCGCTTTATCCTTTCTGCCAAGGTGTGTCTTCAGTTAATATTTCCAGGGTCATCATTTTATTTCTTTTTTAATCCACTAACATTCACGCCCAATGCGTGGTTTTCATGATGTCGAAGGCGCATAGACAATGAAAGGCAAATTAGGCAGGATGGTGCACAGCTGATGGCAAGTAGGTCACGGCCGCGCCTCTATATTGTTTATTGTAATTTAAGTTCATTCAGAGCATATACTTTTGTTTGTCAGACTTGACAAATAACAGAGGTAAGCATTATTCTCGGACTTATGCTCCCCACTACATTCCTCATATCCGTCGCCAGTAGCGGACCATTGACGCAAAAGCTTACGTCGCTTCTTAAGATCGGGTTCCGCAATTTTTAAAAGAAAAAAAAAACCCGAAGATGAAAATCCACCAACCTTTTTCGAAGCAGATTACATGAAGCTTCTCAGTATTTTCAAGCAAAACAGACCATGATAAACTATAGCTACAATGTACTCATCTGCGGCCCTACCTTCCTTTTACATGTATTGAATTTTACTGTCAACGATCATTTTCTATCAGTTATTAGCACCTTGTGTTGCGTCTTTTTGCAATTTTCGGTTCCTCCCCTTTTTTCTCTTGTGAGCCTCTTCATTCTTCTGTTTTCCAAACGAGAATATAGCTCCACTCGATATTCTGAAAATTCCATTAAAAGACGCAGTCATTAAAAAAATTAATTCGCTACTGTTTATCCGTATTATACAAAACTTCAAAGATAAGAGTGATCTTCGCAATTATGAATCCTACTTAAGCAGTGATGAAAAAAAAGCCCGAAAAAAGACATAACTTCATCTAGTTCTTACATCTGAGGCGCGATGAACGTAACCGAGACAAGAAAGATGGTTCAGGCTTTTCATTTGCAAAATGTTTAAAAAAAATGAAAGTTACCCGAGGACAAAAAGACACAATAGGCCATTTTATAGTTGTGCACTTAGTTGTCAAGCCTTTGATTTGGCGTGAGGCTGAAGTTGACCATGTTGTGATAGAGACTGGTATCTAGTCAGTATGATAACAATATAATTTACATTTGAAAAGCGGCAAGTTTTGCATCATAACGAGCCTCACTCCTGTTCAAAGGCTTGGCAACCAAGCACGCAACCGTGAAATGGACTAATGAGAGCCATAGGTGAGATTTACACTGGACTTCATGCGGCAGATTCGAAACGCTCGAAATGGTAAGTTTTTGGGGTTGAGTTTTGCAGATTATTCTGTACAAAAACCGGAAAATATGTTCTTTAACCGAGGATGTGCAGTTGCCTACCGATAACTGTAAGTTTCAAGAGCCATGAGGATGTGTCTGAGTTCCAACCTACACCTCAAGCATTTGGAAGTTAATTGATTACATTGAAACATTTTCTTCAAAGCCTTAAAGCCTTTTACCCATTACAATATCACTCCTGAAACAAACACGGAAGTCATGAGAATAGGGGAGATGATCACCAACTAAAGCAGCTCTTGATTGTTAGACAAATTCTCCTTGTCAGCCTCTTTGGAAATGTACGGAGAAAAGTATGGAGAATATACATACTGATGTTAGGGTGTGAAGGGTTAACGCGTCGAAGAAAATGTTTCAAGAGAGCGACTGATTGATTTAAGGTCTCACAGCTAAGTCTTACCTGAAAACCTTTTTCCGCCAATCAGCTTGGAACGCTCAAACACGTGACCACACACACACGATATGCGTGAGTCAGCCTTCTATGTAAGATTAAAAACAAGAAATTATTAACCCTTGAATCATATGAATGTAAACCAGTCCGTCTTTCACTGATTGTGCGCCACATAAATGTGATTGCCGAGAGTAAAAAGACCAAGGATTGTGATGGCTCAAAAGCTTTTTCAGCTTCGTTTAAAAACAGTAACTCATATTTTTGCCTTCTTTGCTCCAGCAAGTCCATCCTTAAAATACGTTGGTTAATCATGTGATCGGAAATGTTTATTGCCTTGTGTTATATCCTCTGTCAGTTTGTCTGCGATTTCTCTTTTGTATTCCTTTTAAATTTCTACTTTAATTGTAGATGTTTACTTTCTCGAAAGAAAGCGAGTTATTAAAAAACTTTACATCGTGGCTAATATTTAGCACGCGTGTTTGTCATTCAGCACCAGGAAGGGTGGTCCGTCTGGATCTTTCGTCCATCTTTAACTCGCACTACGCGAAGACGTAAAATCGACTCTTGTTTGAAACGAGTTACAGCTACAGATAAAATGAATGAAAGAATCGAAGTAACTGAGACCTCACTGTGTAAAGTTCGGTCTTGCTGTCCTACTGATGCAGGGAAAAAACAACGTGAAAAACAGCATACGACGATAGATTTGAATATTCAAAATACAATCAAGGAAAGCAGCTGCCAGAAGCGTATTCATCCATAACAATATCTTAAAGGTTTGGAGTTTTCTGATCTTACCACTGAGTTACAGGCCAAACACTGTTGAAGCACCATAGTTTCTTATAGAGATAATGGAAACTTTAGGAGATTGCTCCGGTGCTGTATCGCAGAGAGACTCACTGACTCTGCCGAAACTTCTCGAGCTTTAATAATAAGCCACACGTCAGTCTGCCTTAGTACCGAGTGACGTCACGTGGCCAAATTTGAATAGATTGCAAACAAGACAGGTGTGAAGGTTGAAGGTGTGAGTTGTATCGGTTTATCTATGAGCGATAAGCTTCTGTTACTGGGACACGAAAATTTCTACGAAATACTTTGTACGATTACGAAATTTACTTTACGTTTTAAACTCATTCTGGCCTAATCTTAGACGTCAAACAGTGTTTGGCTTTCAGCGAGGAAAACAGAGTGAAACTTTCAGCTTCAGCCGTAATTTTTCTGTGTGTATCTACCTGTTAACAATCCCATCTTCATGACCCACCATATCCTTATACACCATCATATGGCCTCACAATATAGTGTCTGATGTTCATCTACTGAGCCTTCATTTGAAAAGGGGGATGGGGAAGGGAGGGCTATTGCGTGATACGGGATTGTTTTTTAATTTTCATGACCAGTGAAAGTACGAAATTAAAACCCCGTGAGCTGTGATTTTTTTGCTTTTCGCTATAGGTGAATCTTAAAGTTTATCTTATTTTTCGTGATGCGTTATTTCTAATTTTTGATGCGTGTGATACGTGACCAAGACTCTAAGGACGAAACTTGGCAGACTCCTTACTTGACGTCAAACTTCACAAAAGACAAATTTCAAGGAATAGCTTCCCATGCTATGCGTCAACTTCTTGGTGCAATTTTTAGAGGAGTTACTGTTAGCTTTGTTGATCTTGAAGGACTATCTAAGTTTTTAAACGCGGTTACACATGCAACCAGGGCTAATCTTTCTCTATTCTTAACCATGGTCTCTCATGTTTGGTTTATTCTCCTGATTTTTATGATCATCTGTCTGACAAAATTTATCTGTATCTTTAGGTTCCTGCAAAACGAAGTCAATTCTGAAAGTCTTAAACAACGAGTTAAAATATGGTGAGGTAGCGCGTGACTATAAATTGGCTGAATTTTCGGAAAGAAACGAAGGGGTTGATTGCCTTCCATCTTTAGCGTTTCTTTATCTTTGCTTTGCAATGACTTGCGGTATTTTTTCAAGAGTGCTAGCAAAACCGCATAATGGACTTGATCGCATATTTCAAATACACCCCGAACATTATCTTACAAGAAAATGGAGGCGTGATCCTTGGTGTTGTCACGCGAGAAGTTTCTACTAAGGCGTGACGAGAAACGAGGAGTGTTTCACGGAAAGCGTGTGGGTATTCACTTTATTTCCTCGTAAGCAAAGGAGAAAACGTCAGATTGTACTCCCTTAAAAAACAGAGATTGGTAAGAAAGGTGTTCTTACCGTGTGCTGTTTGATAGTGACACTGAGCTGGTGGAATGTTTTTCTCTATTTCTTACGAGACGTATTAAGATATTTTCGCGGTCTTTGCACGCGAAAGCAGCGCATTTACACTCAAAAGCGTGGCTATCTTATTTGTAATTACTTCGTTACATTGATTGTGACTTAATTCTCATAATTTGGGCAAAATGTATACCGAAAACATAACTGTGAGGGATATATGAAACGCTGAGGTTTCACATGAATTATGACGACATTAGACAACAAAGCATTCTTAAACATCACTATGGTTTAGCTGAGAATTCTCAATCATTCAGACTTACCAACTGATTACACGCAATGCAGCGTTCAACAACCATGGCTAAACTTCACATTAGGCCACCGAGACTTGCGATTAAGAAACGGTCATGAGATATTTCCTGCTGACGAGGACATATCACTCACTGAGCTGACACGGCACTAAATCATATTGGCTAATCGGTAAGTAACATCGCATGATTATGACGTAATCGGTGATGTCAGCTACTATTTAATATTTCTAGCAGAAAGCGGGAAGGACACGGAATGTTTGTAGAGGATACGGTAGTGACTATATTCCTTTATTCGAGTTTCATTTTCAGTATGGAGCACGTTTATCAAAATATCTCAATTGCCTCTGCCTTTATTCTGCTGATTCATCGAATTCCATACAAATCAAGATCGTCAGGGAGCAACTACAGAATACCCTGCCACTTTGGTACACCTCATTTACATGTATCGAGAGGCTTTGAAGATCGAGGCATAACAAAATAAACGTTGTTCTTATTCAATGACATGTAAATGAGTGGCAGGGTATTCTACAGCTTAGCCATCATCAGTTACCTGCATCATACTGTGCAGTCGGACAAATTCTCTAATGTATGGTTACTTGGTTGACAAAATGTGAAGTCCATTTGCATGCAATGCAACTTTGAAATGAAAATATTTCTAGTTTGATAACGTTCTATTTTAAACTGGACTCGTCAATCGGACGTTTCACACCCAGCCTACCAGTCGCCACATGCAGTGACGAACAGTTGACATGCATTCCAAGGCTACTGAGGGAGTCGCAAACCATTATGACCTTCTTCATAGGCGTGCCAAAATATATTTTTAGTTTATTGTTTTAAACCCTTTTAATTCAAGTTTTTTTTCCTTAGGGAGCAAGGAAAGGTCAACTCGACGCCTTTCCCGCTTGGATTTTCAAAAACTGAATTAATGTTGGTTCCCTCCCTTTCCTTGGAAACGACTTCCTGTTACTTAATTGTGGTACTTCCGGTAACTTCAAAGTCAGTAAATAAGCTTTCATGCCCATCCCTAAAAGGTCTTAGTATCCGTCAAAAGCTTGAGGCATTTTCCCAAATCAGATATCTTTTCATTAAGACGGCAATGTGAGCCACATCAAAATTTACCGTTTTTATTCCAGTTTACCCTTGGACAGAATTCTTCTGTTTGATTGCAGCGAAAACCGCTTTCTCCTCATTTTTATTTTTGCAACGAAAAAGGGGGCCACAGCTTAAATAATAGCAAATTTGTTTTAAAAAACATTAACGTATTCACTATGGTTTTATATTAAGTGAACAGAAGAGTGAGTCAACTGAATTATTAGATTCTGTATTAATATCGATCGTCTTTGGAAGTGCTCAACACGCTAATCTTATTAGAGAAACCTAAATAATTTACAAGATCACATCCACTAATTTTTCGACGTAACAGACGCAATTTGCCAATCTTTCGTTGTCGTTTAGTGTTGTATGGGTATGATATTTACACTTAGGGTTATTAAATATGGACTCTGAAAGTCTGATTCTTTCAACGAATGTCTTCGTCTGGCTCTCTAGATAAAATAATGAAACTGACGTAAGCCAGCAATGCATTAGCAATAGTGTTCATGAGAGCTTTAATTGCCTCTAGTGATCAATTGGTTAGGTTTTCTTTTTCTTTTTTACAAATTTTTGGCACTTCTGTTGCCATGAAATATTAATTAATCATGCTATTTTTGGCTAGTATTCAATTGTCGATTGGATTTTTCAGATCGTCTCGTAACCGCAGCGTGTAAATGATGATTTACACCTTTCCGCCCATCGCAACGCCTACTGTCTGCCACCACATCACTCAGTAATGCTTGGGATCTTCACCTGCCACTTAGCAATAAATCTATGCGGGGTTTTCTTCTAGATTACTGACCTGTTCTAGGGGAGTACCAAGTGAACTAAAATCGCACACTTATACACTCAATCTCGCGTAGAAGGAAACTTTTTACACAGCTCAACTGCCTGTGAATTATCAGTTCTTAACAATATGGTTACGGTTTTCAGTTTCCATGGATGTTTATCTGACTTAACAAAGTTGAATCGCCGAGTCACCAAGTAAATTTATAAAAAATTCCAATTCATGCGCCTGGCAATTATTCATAGCTCTAGGTAGAATAATACACTATGAAAAATTCTACAACAGCGTAGGATGTTGACTTACTTCTGCACATTATTTAATATAACAACACTGGTAACGCTGGTCAATGCTTCTATCGTGCAGCACTTCTCGTCAGAAGATCAGTTGTTATTTCGAGTCTAAAGTATTTCCTTTCCTAGAAGAATAAAGATTCTTGAAATTGTGACTTTATTGTTCAGTTGCTTTTCGCAGATGCAGACTTTCACTATTCATGCCAAAAAAATTGAAATCCTGCAAAGTCACAGAAGGTTAAATGGAAGTATTTTAGCCGTCAATCGAAACAAATGAAAAAATTACCTCCGAACAAATGTCAGTTTATTAGCGGACGCTGTTGAAGAACCATAGCTGAGTGAATTCAATCATTTCTGAAATGTTTTATAATTCCTCGACGATATATTTAATGCATCATTTTCAAATATCTTTTGAATAGGGTTTCAATTTCAACCATGTTTGGGCGTCTCATCTTATATTAGTCAGCCGTTTCAATATTGTCGTGACCTCAACCAAATTTAGCTAAATATGGTCAAGTGAGAATCACGGACAAGAAACACTCTCTTCGGCATCCTGCTGTGGGCCGACAACCTTAAAAAGGAAATCAGTTACCCGTTTGTCAAGAATTTGCTCTGTACAGCGGAAAACCTCACCTGATTCTCATGAGGTCGACTGTTAACGTAACTGACTGCTACTTAGTTCGAATCGTGTCACATAAATGATTTTTTTCATCACGATTCAATCGAGCAAAGAACTGAGTGGTCATCCAGTGAGATTTATCGACTTCAGAATACAGTATTGAAAGCAATTGATAAGTTTGGATCACTCTACCATTGAAAACCAAAATTCAAACATCGAGTTCCTCACAAACAGAAAGACTTTCGTCTACGATTATAGCTTGCTGATAATAGGCTTTGAATCTTATCACTGAGTTGAGAAGAGACAAATCATCCTATAGCTTATACCAGAGTCCTTACCGGACAGATAATACTCAATTGAAATGTGAGGCCCCTTTCATTATATGTCAAGCCCGTCATGGTTGGTCACCCGTCAGCGATTAATATCCTATTGATTTTCCTATTTATTAACTTGCCAGATTATTTTTATCATAAAAAGGGATGGCTAAGTGCAAAATCAGCAAACGTGGCAAAACATTGATCATTCCCCCTACCGTATGAAAAAAATATATTTATTCAGCGAATACTTTTGTTGCACTATGTACTACGGTTTTGCTAGAATTTAAACTAGCACTCCCTTCTAAACTTCGAATGCATGATTGTCGGTTTGCTCATAAGCTGACCCTTGAGACTGCGAGTTGGAAAAGTTAAGGTCTGTCAAGCTATTTTCTGAGTTGACGTTGAAGATAACTATTAGATAGTCCTTTAAAAATAGCTCCTAATTACTAGCCAACGTGTAGCTGTACCCTCCCCCAGAAGGTGAAACGGAAGCGAGGGAACGTCTATGAAAACCTGACACTTTTCCTCGCTTCCGTTTCATCTTGTGTGTGGGGGGGGGGGAGGGAGGGGGGGAGGAGAGGGAGGGTACGACTACACGTAGGCTACTAATTACATGCCCATGACGGAGCTTTTAAGAGGCCGTGTCACAGGCACCTTTTGTTGCGTGATACGCACGTGACACTGCAACTCATGTTCAAAAGTACAAATTAGGTTTGCATTACTATAAGTGCCCTTTTCCGGTGGAGCCAGACACGGGGTATATCATACCCGTTCGATCAGTACACAGTAGTTTGCACTGATCCATCAACATGGTTTTACGACAATGTCTCGCTTGCAACTCAACGGTGAGTAGGCAGAAATCTGTGTGAGGATTATTATGTAAACCATGTCGGGGATTTTTTTATAATATGAATATTCCACTGCCGATGTTCACATGTTGTTACGGCCTGAGTGAGAAGTGAAGACCTCGCTTTGCAATTGCAGTTTGACAACTTCGAAAGGTCTAGATTAAAATCGAGTAACAGGATTACACGAAGGGATCTAAGAAAGTATAAATTGGATTGATTTCGATTTGAACGTTAATGCTTCGTTTGGAAACGTTTCACTCGATCGTTGTTAGAAGTTTACACAAAGGTAATCTCCGCCATTGTTTTTACTTTACTACTAACGAATGTATCAACTGGCAAGTTATGTACATCAGCGTGAAAATTTACCTTAAGCTGATTTTTGTTATAAGAGGCATACCTATAACTCTTGTTCAGCGCATGCTTGGGCGGGCCAATATGCAAATTTATTTTAAAATCATCAGCCCGGAAAACGTGTTCGTCTTGCTTTCGCTTTTCAGGAGAGCAAATTTGAATAATCACAATCACTGTTGCCGTCCCCGTGTGACTTGTCCCAAAGTTTTCCCTTGCTACGATTCGTACAGAAAATCGCATAAGGTCGAGTGAAATTAGGCTTTAATATCTCGTGTAATTTCAGAATTACGAAGTTCAAGGTTCAAAGCTAACCCCAACAAAATGTGTTTCCCTTAGTGGGGTCGACCAAGTGGTTCCTTTAGCTGGGGGGTTTAACGAAGAACGAAAAATAGTTTCCTAAGGTGAATTATTTTACCCAGCGAACCCGGTATAGGAACACGCAGAGGCAACCCTCGATAGCGTCAGAGCTTGTTCAGGTGGCTCATAAGACAGGGGCGTGAGTGGGTAGGTGTGTTGCGGGTGGGGGGGTGGGGGAACTAGATTTTGTTCTTAGACGTACATCTTAGTTTACAAACTTGATACGATTGATAATTTATCATCTTGATTCCTTACATGCATTGCAGGTTTTAGGCACATTACAGATATGTACCTGTGGCCACGTATTCGAAGATGTTCGGCAGATTGGTGGGAAAAGGTTCTCAGGTCTGTGTGTGCAAACTTCCAAATCTTCGATTATTTACCCGAGCTAACAACCTCGTTGGTCAAATTTTAATCAGAGTGTAGACTGCGTTTGCCGGTCGAAATTTCGGCTCAAACAGTTGTGGTTATTGTCATCAGCTATGTGACATTTGCTTGACGCTTCATGCGGTTCCCGACATCCCGTTTTGCTTTTTCTTGCCCACACAAGCTGTGATAGTGACCTTTGACCTTCACCTTATTGTTTTCTCCGGAGTTATCTTATTCTCGCCTCTTTCTACGAAAGAGGCGAGAATCTTCTCGAGAATCCTAAGGAGGGGAGAGGATTCTACGAAAGAGGCGAGAATCCTCTCCCCTCCTTAGTGGGCTAACCGACATACTAATGAGAAGTGGGGGGTGGGGTGGGGTTGGTTAAAAAGTAAAAAAATTTAGTGCATTTACACTGTTGTGGTTCGATCTTTGGAATAATTACTTTTACTCGTGTCACTTAGTAGAAATGTACCGAACTTTCTTTTTCCTTACGCAAGGCCAGAACTCGCACTGTGTGTAGATGTACATTTAAAAGTTTTCCTTTTAAAATACCTCGTTTCCGCAGTATATCGAGCTAGCCTGTACACAAGACTGGAAGCCAAGAAAATGAAATTCAGAGGGGATGAGAGCAAGACCCAAAGCGACCCGGATTCATCCGAAGATTGTCGCTCGAAGCAGGTAACAAAAAACGCAAATATGGGTGTAGCGAATGAGAACGGAACTGCTGAAAGAAAGTCTCTGGCTCTGGGATTTGGCTGCGCTTTTCTGCCCGTGGGTTTATGATCAAAGACAAATTTTAACGAGGCAGTGCAGAATTCTGAACAATATTCTGGCTCTGAAAACATATTCGGTTTTGGCCCCCTTCATCGGGGCTTTCAAGGCTGAATTTTTAGTCACGCAATCTTCTCATATGATGAAAGGACTGAAATAGTAGATATAGGATCATGATTTACCTAACATGGCATATACTTGAGATCCTTCCTTTAAGCTGAGTCTCACTCTTACCAACTATGCGTAATGAAAAGATGAAGGTTTTGTTAAAGACGAGCCACAAAAACATCCTAACCCATGACGCTTGCACTGGTTTCTTCAACTGTCACGCACGCATTCCTTTGACCAGTTCAAACGAACCAACCGGACAATTTAAATGTCTGAGCAACTGCGCGCCTACCCTTCCCATAACCCATCATTAACCCTAACTTGTTATCAGCTGACTCTTGTTGGGTTGGGGAGGGGAAGGGTTAGGCGAACAGTTATCAGATACTGACACTGATCCAACCCGGCAACCAACCAATGAAAACTTTACGTATCAGTGACAGCTGATGCTTTGGTATTCCATCTTTTATCACGATAGGTATCTTTGAAAACTAAAAAAGGAATTATTGGTTCATCTTCCTCAAGTAAAGTGCCAAGAAAGAAAGGAAGAAGAAGGGGAAGAAATGGAAAGAATACGCATGAAAATCGGCGCGAAAACAAAGCAGTTTCTTTGTTTTATTCCCCCGAAGAGGAAGCTGAAAGATTTTCGCAAGCTCTTCAAGAAATCAACCGCAGAATCATGGGGCAGTCTTTGGTTTGGCTGCTGTAAAGTTCTATTTTCTAGGGATCATCATTGATGGCTGTGAATTCGAACGGGGATTTTTGCGGTATTCCCTATCAATTTTACTGGAATTCTCATGGAAAAGTGTCTACGAAGAAAGTAGAGATTCAGCATTGCCTATCTTATCCCTTGTTTTGATATGGTTTACTCAGGTGAACCAGACGGTCATTGAGTTTGACAGTAATGTAATGGATTTGTCGTCTAACATTATACATTGAAGTATACGTTTTGTATTTTGTTCATATGTTGCGAAGCCAACAAATTTTAATTTGGACCATTCATAAAAAAATAAATAAAAGAGTAAAAACTCAAAGAGTAAGTTTTATGATAGGGGGTTTACAATTGGTGTATCTTAAATTGATTTTTGCGCCATTTGGCTGCCATCAGATCCTCGAAGTGAAATTAAGTCGTTTCCCTCTATTGTAACGCAATATTTTTCACGCTGGTGAAAGACTGAAATAATAGACAAGAATAAGAAAACAATCTCTCTACTCCCAGTGGTATAGATGTTTCTTCAAGCAATATTCCATTTGAAATTACCTACTATTTGGCGGTTGAATCATGTTACGTGACTGTCACGCAACGAAATGGAAAGATGACGTCTGTGAACTTGACCCCCTTGCGCACGCGAGTATGACGCGATCGGTGCTTTCATGACGAGCGTGAAAGAAAATTTTTACCTCGTGCCTGCAAAGACTATTCCTAATAGAAGAAAAAGGTCCTAGTGAAAGTATTAAGAATCCCCGTTATGATTCAACGGCAGCAATGTGTGGCTTGTAACCTTATGGTAAGTACTTGTACATCGTTTTGCTCGGAATCGTTCATCGTTTGACCCAATGTAAGCTTAATTTCACACTAAGGTACGACCGTGACAGTGTTTCCTATTTCAAATCTTTTGATGTTCATTCCTACGTGCTATACTGAAATATGGTATCAACTGATTTTGAAAAGGTAGTTTTTGAATATTAGTTTTTCGGTTCGTGTGATGTATTGTACTTTTATTGTCGCAAAAAAAAATTGTTGGTTCAGAGAAGTACTTTCCTGGGAATTGTTTTAATGCGACAGAAAGTGACAGGCTTTCAGCCAATCCTCTGATAAGTTAATTAAATTGAGCTTTGTGAAAGATAAAAGTGAATTTGTCGTAATGTTAGAGTGGCACGCCCCACAGAAAAAAATTGATGACTTTATTTTATCGAAAACAGATCCCCGACTCTGAGTCCACAGATATGTCTTGTACCTGTGGTCACGTGTTCAAGGAAATCAAACTGATTGGTGGAAAGAGATTCTCTGGTAAGACGGAGATCCTTTATGATGAAAGTAGAAATTATTTCAAGTGTCGTTGCAATATAGCAATTCTATGTCAATTGGGCTATGGTCAACAGATCGCAACATGTCAACCTTGATCCTGAATGCTTCCGCGTTTAAAAGCATTGTTATCCCTTCTGTTTATTATACCGTATGCCACTAACGTGGTGAATTTGTTGAATAAACATCAGCTTCTTTTTAGTCAGCGATCCTTTCCTTTATTTTCATGACCTTGATGTTTGATCCAAAAAGTGAAACTGTGAGGAGAAACCAGATGCTAATTTACTCTTAAGGGTCAAGGGAACAGATAATTTAAGGCCTGAACAACTGAGTGCTGCATATTTTCAAGGCGAAGCTCCGTCCTCGACTGAAATGAAAAATTAAAACTCAATTGGGCGTGATAAGTAGCATTTATTCACGAATAGAGGATGTTAAAATTTTAGTTTCGAGCGGGCGCAAACAGCATATTGTTCCAACGAGACTGTTGTTCTTTTTCATCACTAACATTTCAGCAGCATCAAATGAGTCTGACTTTGATTAAGTGTAAATCTATGGAGATTATTGCCGTTCAGATTATCAACAAACAAAACCAAAATACTAACAATTCTTGTTAATACTTAGTGCTTGCCTGAATCCATATTGTGTATGAATTATATACAATGTGTATTTCATGATAGGAGGTCCTAAACATTCTTGGATGGTGGATTGCTGAAGGCAGTATATCAGGCCCCTATGCACATTGAACTATAACAAAAACAAATTCATTGCCCTTCACTTAGGCTCGAATGCATTGCAATGATTCTCTCTTACAGAATACCGAGCGCAGCTTTACTCACGTTTGGAAAACAGAAAGCAGAGATTAACCACCGGAGAAAGCAAACCAACTAGGGAGAAAGCTCAAAACGTAGGGAAACTTGCGGTAAATATGTGCTTTTTCGTCGCTTAAAATTGCTAATACGTCGCCTTGTGGTTGGTCTTGAAAACTTGCGCCACTCTCTCCACCAATCGGATTCAAAACTTAGACCAATCGCGATTTGTTCCATCGCGTTTTTCTACGCTTCATGCAGTTCGTCTGTTTTGTAAATTGAGCTCTCATTGCCTAATGATGACGTCAATCTTCGCTCTAATTGGCCGTTATAATTTCCCTGGTTTTGGACACTCAATAAGAGAACCGTGCTAAAGCGGTCAACCGAACATAGCGATGTTTGGCAGGAGACAAGAGTGTCTTGAAAATGTTTAACGAAACATTTACTTTTATCAAACAGCATATCTGCATGTTGGAAGGAAATTGTTCTCACTGTCTAAACACCGGAAAAGGCGCTAGAGGTGACGTTACTCGACGAGAAGAAGAACAATTTGTAAGGCCCAAGGTGATAAGACGACAACTCAACCAGTCACATCACGCCATGAAAAGCAAGTTGAGCGAATCGAAAAATACTTCCACTGTGAGAAATTTCCAAAGAAGGTTTCACATCGCCTTAACAGAAATTAACAGACGTCTTGTCTCCCAGAATCAGTTATGGTCATCGCTGGACAATCGATACAAAGTAGATCAGTAACCGCCCTAAATGGACAAACATTTACATTTTTAGTTTTTCTTTTGTAAAAGAGGACAGAGTCACTACTACTTCCACAATATTGAGTATTTTGAATCGTAAAGAAAAGAACATCTATTGGTTTACTATGCATGAATATCTAAAATAAATTGTTGCTTCAAATGAAGCCAGTTTTGTCTGAGTCATAAGATAAGTAATTTCCAGTATACGCCAATTTCACTCCCACAACACGATACGAGCTCAGGACATGTGCAAACTGATTACAAATTACGGTTGGTGTGTCGGACATGAATCAAGCTTTTTCACACCCTTATGACCAAGTGACGTAATACACAATTTTCGCGAAACAAACTCGAGCCGATGACAAGACTGTTTGGCAAACCTATTAGTGGCATCTTTGGAAATTTTTGGTGGGAAATTTGGAAAAAGTTGGAATTGTTGTTGACATTAATGTTATTTTCAGATTTTGTTTACAATACATAAAGTAACTGCAAGTGCATACAGAAGATGCTCTAAGTATATATTTTTTGCTTAGGATATCATGAGATGCTGTGCAAACATTTTTCTAACTCTAACGGAGACACTAGATTGTCCAATGTCTAGTTCTGTCCACTGTCTAGTTCTGAGTTTTCACGAGGTCTCGTAGATGCCATAGGTTCTTCATCATTCAGATTTCTTTCATAATATTTCCTTGCTTCTCATCGTTTTCATCTTGGCTGCTAATGCTACATATTTCTGCCTCACTTCCTGGCAATGCCCCCACTCTGCAACTCTCAAACAGCTTCCGTTTGGCGGATGAAAGTCTTGCTTCTCTTATCGAGTTTTCACATAGCCTTGTGGACAAAGATTCTTCAACGTTCAGGTTTCCGACCCATTTCTTCATCTGTTCCTCCATGTTGCCATCTTTGCTGCCAAAGATTACTACATCAGTTGCGCTTGCTGACGACAGTTGTTCCATTCTGTTAGGCTCTAGCATCTTTGGTTTGTGTTCAGGGCTTTCTGTGTTTTTATGGAGATCTGTGAGTACTCTGGGCTCGTTGATTTGAAGTTCTTTGGTCGGACCCTCCTTTCGTTTCTCTTCACCTCGTGGATTCAAGGGTTTTTCCTGAAAAGTGCTTGTTCCGCAAGGATCTTTCAAGAGTTGCCGGACAGCGAAGCGGTTTCTTCGATTACGTAATACGTAGATAGCTGGATTAAAAACGCTCGCTATAAAGGTCAAATAACCAGCTGCAAAAGGGAACCACCCTTGGTTGTCAACACGACCCGAGATGCCGAAGGCAATTGCGGGAATGTAACAAACATAAAAGGTTGCAATGGCCATTGCGACAGTTTTGGTGGCTTTTACGTCCGATTGGAGTCTAGCTTCCTCTTGAAGGGCGGTTAGATTTAGGACCTTTCTCTGTAATAAAGAAAAGGAATCGTAATGATCTGCCTCTATATGCTGTAAAACCAAGTTATTCAAGTAAAAGCATGGGAGAATTCGTTATAAACTATCTTGTTTCTCTTAGATGGCCTTGTGAGCAATGTCATTTATCTAAGCTTGAATCTGCGTGAATGTATCGAGATACCGTCGCAGCATTTCTCGCAACGTTAGGTCCTTTCTGACCAGGTTGTGTTATGAACATTTAAAAGCACGATCACCGTGCTGATTACTGCTCAGCTTTTTCCCACATGTAGACCGATGGTGTCATGTTTGGTATTTCTTGTGTCCAATTTATGCAGCTAGCGTTAACAAACAAACAAACAAAAACACGTAAAATTAAACGAACAGACAAAAACACGTAAAAAACAAATAAACAAACAAAAACGAAGTTCTTCATGTGTCGCTCTCAGGGTTGGAGACAACGAACCCTCATTCTAAGATGAGAGCAAGCCGTCACCTTCGCTTTGAATAAAATTGATTCTCTGCGATTTTGGAGTTTCCTTATGAAATAAAGAACGCCTTGATTTCCTTGAGTTACATTTATATATGTAACTGAAAAAACAAAACTCTAATGGTCTAACGATGCAGTTACTTCACCACTAATCAAAACTTCACTACTTTGTCACAGATAACATCAAAGTTAGTCATTTCTAGAAAAACAATGTTTTCTTACCCTCTTTTTCTTCTGGTTGATGGCATAACTGACCAATGTTCCAAGCACGGTTGCAGCTATGGTAAACAGAGCTATCACTGACTTAATCACTGATTTTCGTATTTCAAATATCATTCCTCTGGCTTGACCCAATGGCACATTGTCAAGATTTATATCAATCAATTGCAAGCGTAAAGAAGCCAACGCCGTCACTGTGGTACATGAAAACCACATAAAGGCGACAGCCATGATCGCTCTCTTGTTTGTTTTCCACGTGAAATACCTCAGATCCATGAAGAGAACCAGAAACCTGTCCAACATTAAGGCGGACATAGATACCAAGTTCAGCAACGTGAATTCCAGATGTTGTGCAGATGCAATCGTGGCCCACATTCTACCTTTCAACCAAAGGGGAAAGATTTGGGCAATGAGAAATAGTGGAGCACCTGTGAGTACGTTGATAAGACCGACCAGGGCGGAATTGGCGAAGAGAATGTTTGGAAAATTTTGAAACACCTTGAAGCGAGCAAAGATGGCGAGAAAAGATATGTTTCCAATCAAGGCTAAGATTATCAAAATGACTACGAGAAAAATCTTTGCTGTTTGGACAGCAGGATGTTTCTCCCGAACTTCATGCTCCATTTTGCTGTTTGAGAGGAAGATAAAAGTGAAGAACAGAGGGAAGGTTTTTTAGTTAGGTTGTGAAAATACTGTATGCAAATCCGCGCCTTTCTTTCAAACAAAATCACTTCCTGGAAATCTACAAAGGAACACTCAAAAGCGAGTTTTTCCTACGGAAATAGACCGGAGATACGTTTTTCAAACTATCATGATAATTATTTGAATGTTTAGTCATGACAGTACGGAGAAAGTGGGATATAAACGATCAGAAATCCCAATGATTAAGACAATATACACGTTTGTTACCATTCTTTGGCTTTATTAACCGTGTTTTATTTTAAACCAAAAATGACATTTTAGCGAGTTGGCGTGGTAGAAACAGTTTCAAGTCTTGATTGAACTGACATTATTATTTTTAAATTTCTTTCGTCTTACTAGTTATTTGAAAGAAAGCTTAAGAGAAGGCACGAACTGATTCCGCCGAAAATTAACCTGGTACCTAAGAGTTCCTCATATAGCATGGTGTAATTTCATCCTGCGGAAAAAAAAACTGATAATCGTGGGAAGGTACGAGGCTGGAGCAAGTGAATTCCTTTCGAAAAGGAAAATATAAGAAACAAAACCCAACAGATTGTGAATTCGCATGCCCTGAAAGGATGCAGTTAGCTTTGTCATTCGTATTGATCAGTAAGCGGAGAGATTAATTGTCTTCTACTAATTGGGAGAGATATCTTCTTACAATTTGCCGTAAGTGGGCGAAAAAAAAACTGCTTTAAATTATTTTGAAAAATCCAAGAGTTGTAAAGAAATTTTGAGAAATTTTGAGTTGTAAAGAAATTTTAATATTTAAACCAGGGTCGTCATCATGTCATAAAATACACCAGTTGATAAAAATATAAATTTGCAATAAAACAATACTTCATGAAAACGAGTAAAGTGTTTGGAAGGTTCTTCTGTTAAGAATAACGTTGATTTAGCAACCTCTTATCACAAAACACGGATGCTTACTCTGGGATGAGAGTTTTCCAAGGTTTCCGAGTTCTTATATTTTTCTTGAGTGCTTTTTGGTGATTCAGATAATGCTTACGTCATATGATTGGATGTTTTTTCCGAGATTTAC